TGTGTGTATTGGTTAATAATTCCAGATATGATACTCTACTTGTTACGCCTAGTTATGTAGTGTTAAAATAACATTCATTTTTCTGAGTAAATCGTGAGTATTTCCTTGCACCATAGTCGAGCCGTGTCTTCAGGCGATTGGCATCTGTGATAATTAATTGCTATCTCTGGGACAATTTCATGCTGTTGTCACTCTGATTCATAACATAAGCAGTTACTGTAAGCTAGTTCATTATGAGGTTAACGAATTCCTACGCTCCAGGCTGTTACGTCAGACGTAGTTTTTTGAGTAGAGGTTGTTTTGCCAGGAGTGTCAGCAAATTGTGTGCTGGAAGCTGTATCTCTGATAGCTTTGAATCCTGCTTTATGTAAAAATTTGGAGAATTATTTTGATATTACTAACCTGTCGAAACAGGTTAGTTATTGAACGCCCTGGATAGTTTTGTGTCATGTTTTAAAGTGTCTCAACGTTCATCAACTCCTAGCTTAGTGATAGGGAGTGAAGTGATAGAACATGTTGACCACTTCACCTATTCGGCAAGTTGTATCAGCACCAACGGATTAATTGGTGACGAAATCAGCACGGATCCAGAAAGCTCGGGCTGCTTTCGCTAACTTACACCGTCTCTGGCGTAGGCGTGACATCCGGCTGTCAACCAAGGGACGTGTAAACTGCTCAGCAGTTCGCTCCGTCCTTCTCTATGGCTCTGAAACATGGCCAGTACGAGTTGAAGACATGAAAATGTTGACTGTTTTTGATCATAGATGTTTACGATCTCTTTCTCGCGTTAGGTGGTATAATAAGGTAAGTAATGTTGACGTTAGGCGTAGAGTGTTGGGCAAAGAGGGAAAATCACCCGAAGAGGCTATGAAGTTACATAGATTGAGATGGTTAGGTCACGTGCTGCGCATGCCTAACCATCGTCTCCCCCGACGGGCATTACTAGCTGATATAGGTGCAGGTTGGAAAAGAGTAAGTGGTGGCCAAACAAAAACATGGCCTCATCAATCCATGAAATCCCTGACAGTTAAACTGAGTCAGGTAGGGAGATGCAGACTTCCGGGTTGGGACCCTCGGGACTCTAAGAATCGATGGCTGGAGACAATAGGTGACATGGCTCGAAATCGTTGTCAATGGCGCAGATGTATTCAGTCTCTGTAATCTTTCATATTCGTTTCTACCATTACTCATTCTGTTTCACTCTTATACTTGTCAAAACTCTATTGATTCTCTTCACTCATCTTCTTGTCTACCTTTGTGTGCTATTTGGGACGTGGCAACTCGAACTGCTGCACTTCGGTGCCAAGTTCTATGTTGAATCCAGCAGCAGCATCAATGCGGTGTTCGAATTTAATTTGTCAGACGGCTCTGTTGTTCGTTTATATGTCATTTAAATATGACACTACCTGTGGCGTCGACTTGCCCTTTCTTACAAAGTCTGACGCACGCGAATTAGCCAATTACAGATAGTTAAATTCGAGCAGGGCGTCTATCATTCACTACAATGTGAGTTTAATTCACTCTGCATGTTGTGCCGATGCCGTTCTGTCGCTCTAAAATGGCTTTGTAAGGGTAAAGTCATAATTTCTACCGATATCTGTTAACATACTGATAGTAATTTTGGTCATTGCAGTTCATTGATGTACTGGTGGGTACTAGCAAGTCCTGTCTTATCATCCCTCACACACAGGACATTCACTTGACATCATTTTCATCCAAAAGAAGCCTGTTTGCTTTTTACATTAGTTCACATAATATTGAGTGGACTCTTGACGTATGTTAGTTAACTCATCCACAAAAGCATGTTTAATGATGACTAAACTAACATGAGTCAATGGTGACCACTCACGACAATCTTAAGTTTAGTTTCTTTCAAGAAAGGTGTCATGATTCTTGTAGCACGTTTCTGGTCACTGATTTCATGAGTATAATAGAATCTGCTAAGTTAATTTATATCAAAGTGAACAAAATATTTGACTGCTGGTGAATATGAACTTTAAAATCTAAATATGATAATTAAATATAAAATAGTGTAAAGGTGCTATCGTCTTTTGATACTTTCTGAATTTTTATACGCAGTCGTTTCCAGTTTGGTTCATCGCATATCAGAAATTGAGTCGCGGTTAGGGAGCTTAAAGATGGTGGATGGCTCTGGCGAAACGAGTAAAAAACCAGCTGAAGACGATGCAGTGTCCGATCTTTTTGGTTCAGATAGCGAGGTATGTTCTCGGTATGTTTGAAATAACTTCAGGATGATCGAGAAGCCGAACGTGTCCGGGCTGAACGAGAGGCTGCTTATCTCGCTAAGAAAGCCTCAAGTAAGTCATTACTTAAATGTGTTGTTTCTTTATATGCATTAATCCGTTTGATACTGTAGCCTAAATAGCTTAGTGAACAAATAAAAAGTTTACTTGGAATTGAGTTTTACTGCTTAGTTTATAATAAATTAAAGAACGTCCTAATATGGCATCAAATTTCTCTTCAACCAGTTTTGTATCACAATTTAAAATATACATATGCCTTGTTTCACAAAAGGTACGGTTTAACCCACGTAGGTGTTGAGTAAAGTCAGGAAATTTCAGTTAATGAAATCCTTTCAGATGTTGAATCTGAAGTCAGGAAGATGGGACTATTTCGAGTAACCGTTATCACTTCTCATGTCTTAGTACAGTTTTAACATTTGAGTTTACAAAAACTTTACAAAATAGTACAATTTAATGGCAACCATGCGTCTATCTGAGCCATGAGAACTAGAGGAATGCTAACAGTGAAGTGAATCAATGTTAAACCAAACAGACTTAAGAATCTATCATGCAGTTTTGAAGTATTACTTTTGTGTTCATCACTATTTTAATATTTTCGGTATATGTGCATTGTTTAGAACTATACGGAATGGTGATTTATTGTAATCACACGCCAACTTTTAATTTGTTATTGTTCAGAGCCGGCTGTTATAGCCAAATCAAGCATCGTCCTTGATATTAAACCATGGAGTGATGAGGTGGATATGGACGAGCTTACCTCTTTGGTTAAAAGTATTCAAGCCGACGGTCTTTTATGGGGTCAGTCCAAACTAGTGCCCGTTGCCTATGGTATCAAGAAGCTTCAAATTTGCTGCGTTGTCGAAGATGATAAGGTTAGTTTATTGATTGAGGGGAACTGCTAAGTGTTTGTTGCTGAACTATTTTCTTTGAACCTAGATACACTAGCGCACTAAAAATTTCCACTGTATTTTCTAATTGCAGTCCTAACGTTAAAGGAATGCAATTAACTCTAATTAAAATACTGATATTATTTTTTAGAGGTAGTTAACTGTTCTTTTTCTTATTTTAGATTGGAACTGACTTCCTTGAAGAATCTATAATGAAGTTTGAAGACCATGTTCAGTCAGTTGACATTGCATCATTCAACAAATTGTAATGATACAGAATCCGTATTTTAATACTTTATACATAGGTAAATGTTTCACTCAGTGATTGTTTTTTTTTCCATGGCGATTGTCGTACTGTCCGAAGACGATATAGTGCTCACCTGCTATTTGAAAACTCGTAACACACTCTAGGATTCATTTTTAGGATTAGGTGCGAAGTGTTTCAAAAATCAAGTGCCGGGTAACGAAGTAGGAGAGAATGTAATGAAACCTTGTACACATAATCTGACTAGTTGTATCGCAACATAGTGTACTGTGTTCGTGTATCTGTGGTGAATCCGAGATATTATTGCAGTTTACGTATTCCGTATAGTTAAACTCAAGGAAATAAGTCGAGTTTCTAAATGAGAATGTATTGATAGCAGTCTGTTATGCTTTCAGGTATCTAAAGATAAATGAACTGTAACTAATTGCTCATTTGATTCTTTTACCGTCGAATGTTATTTCAACCGGAACTTAACTCATAAGTGTACTTCATTGAACGTTTGGTTGAAGTATGGTTTTCCTATTGCATCTGTAACGCCAGAAGATGAGAGAAGTGGTAACGGACTTTTTATTAGGGGAAAACGCATCATATTTATACATTTTTAATTACATCAAAAGTCGGCTGCGTCAGCGAACAGTTAACTATCCTGATTGGTTGGTGATTAGCCCAAAGTTGGGTAAAGGGACGAAAAGTTGTCCAATGAGATTACAGATCATAACATAAACTAAATCCTGATTTGAGTAATAAACAGTACACCCTTAAAATGTTGATTTCAATTTTTGTCCGCTTCTTATTGACGTGTACGAGATTTATCATTACTTGGCCTAAATGACAGAAATTACAGTGATCAGCTGTTGCTTCGCATCAGATCGAAATATTCTGATTATCAAATCAGACTGGACATATCTGCGTTCTTCAGCATTCGATGACAGACTCGCATGTACACCAGTATACCTCGTTATATGGTCTTGTGAATGAGTGAGGGAATTAGACAGCTGTCGTTATTGAGTCAGAAGAAATCGCTTGTCATCAACTACATAAGATCTGGTGTCTGCATACAAGACTGTCGAATGGTATCATTAGATGGAAGTGAGTATTCAGTAAATCAGTGTAGTGGGATATTAGTCACCACATAATGGTGGTCTCTTCAGTTTTTGCATATATGTAGTCAACCAGGTTGTCATAACACAACAAAGGACGGATGGGTACTTTAACTGGAAAAATATCGTTTTCAGAGCTAATCATCTTCAGTTTTAAGCAACTGAGTGGAAGCAATATACGACGGCAAAAATGAATGTGTCGTGTTTGCACACATCTATATACTTAACCTTTGTCAGTCCATGTTGTCAAAGACTGGTTTGAAATCAGTTTGTAGAGCAGATTGTATTCATTTCATAGTATTTCACTCAATTGTCGTCTTCGTGCCATTGATTAGAAACGCGTGTTAGTGTGTACGGTCACGATTGTATTCAACTGGTGTATTTTAGTTAACAGAGACTTGAAATTCTTGTCATACACGGGTGTTTCTGCAACCTCTCCCCTCGAAAAGTTAACAATATACACAAACTGTAGGTGTTGTGTTTCATAGAAATCGTCTTTTTTGTCCCTGAATTTCTTTCATAAGCATATTACATACATATATATTCGTTATCTGTTCAAATAACATACGCATCAAGTAAGTGTACACAGTGAAAAGCAAAGTCAAAAAAGAAATGCATATTAGCATTATTCAACTGGTGTAAATAAGTTTTACAAAGTATTTAGTTTATTTAAAAAAGAAAACAAAACATTTTCTTGATAATATATAAAAAAAGGAAAAAAAAATCAAAAGCAAGTAGAAAAACCATACAGCGGTTATATGGGGCTCCCCTGCATATGTATGCAAACTGAAATTTTTCGCCGTTATGTGGGTATGTGATCAGCACTATCACAGTGTAAACGTATAGCGTTGTGTTTAGAAGATTTCCTTTTTCATCAGTATTTAGATGTATATAACAGAGCGAATAAACTGTAAATTAAAAGCAATGCATATGATAAATATTATTAAGTATTGTTTTTACGTGTGAACTTTAGTCAGAAGTGATATATGCACACAATCATAATGCTAGTTGGGATATTGTGAAAATCTCATCCAAAGATGCCTCTACTCAACAAGCATTTGCCTGCCCATGGCATTTGTGCATTTGTGAGTGAGTAGTAGCACTATCAGACTTCTGGTTAGTGCAGAGTGATGTCGCTACAAAATGAGCTCATTTCAGTATAATCGCAGTTAATTGGTTTAGGTGTTTATATCTACCCGGCAATAGCTGATATTAAGCTTTCAGCTCAACAGTCGTAACGATATTTGTATAATACAGTAAGATAGATACATTATAAAACTCTCAGCACATAGACCTGTACTTTCGACAAGTCTCTAACTGTTTCACACTTTCATCGTTTAAGTTACTTGACCGTAGACACCTCCGAATAGGATACCACAGGTGACATGGTTCAGAATCAATTGGACATCATCGCTTTTCATCTCATAGAACTTCAACTGAATTATATTCATCGTGAAAGTTTGTCATGAGATATAATAACAATTCAGTTCGGTCTTCGTCTGAATGAAAGATGAGGCTTGGTATGGTGACATCACAAGTGAATTCCCTATCGTACATATGAAGCTATGCTCTTGAAAATCAATAAAACTAAGACTGTACAATGCAACCCAATAAGCTGAACAGATTAATTTAAACTTACATCTTCAGCTCCGAAAACAGCTCGTCCATCTTTAGTACGTTCTTGTGCTTTAAACGTTTCGAAGACAGTTGATAATCGGACCAACAATAAGATATAATCATCGAATGATACTTGACCTTTTTCATTTGCATAACGACAAGCAATTGCTTTATAGATTAAATTACTGACGTGGAAACCTAATGGAGGAGAAAAATTGATGAAGACAGATTTACAATAATGGTACCAGAAGAGCCTCTTTAAATTTTTACTAATTCACAGATTGCTCTCCAATATTTATGAAAAAAAAATAAGGATGTTTATCCAGAATATATCATCGAATAAAGTAGACATCGTAAACAAAGCTACAAGTCTTAAAAGTGTCATTTTCTAATGGTGCTGATGGCTTTTCGATAAATTCACTGTAAATTTTGGTTTACTGCATAAGGCAATTGCCTAAGCCATTTAAACACATAGAACTATGAGTGGGTACATTCTAATTTATCTGAATAGCTTTATAACACGCCTGCTGCTGTTGGAGTAGTTTCTTACCAACATTCAAGAATCCTGGTCTCATTGAATACATGTACAGTTGACAGACTGAGCAGTGCTTACTATGCATCGTGATAGTTTACTCAAACACAGTTTTTGTTAATTTGATTGGCGATACTTAGCAGTGGTATATGGAGTGCGCACTTCGTCCTATTTGGGGTTCGTCGACTGGATGTACCCACATTCCCAGTGGGTGATGGTGTTCCCACTGATACTCGAATTCCGCACCCATCGTTTGGAATGTCAAAGCATTATTCACAAGAGTCACCTCTTGTGCAACACGTATCAGCCATTATTTTTGTTTTCAGGTTAATTTTGCGTTCCCCGTTGATTGATTATATGGGACCTAAACGCTCCATCTCTGCTGACATGTGTCGGCTCGTAGTACGGATACTTCGACAATGTCTTAGGATTAACGTAACATAATCATCCAACCGGACATGCAAAATTAACTTGAAAACAGATGAAAACATTAGTGTCAGTTGGGATTCTATTACTGAATGGACGGTTCGAATAGTATTCTTTCATTGGTATAATATCAAGTATATGGAGGCGACAAAAGGAGGCGCTGGTATTCCGTTCATTATTCATTAGGAAGAAGTCTCATTCGTTATTTATTTTTAACACAGTTGTTATGAAGTCAGGAACTTCGCAACCGATAGATACGTTACAGGAGACTTATTGACCAAATAGTATACTTAGTTTGTGAATGAGAAGCCTTTACAAAGGGGTGAACAGACTAAAGTCCAATAAATGTGAACAGATTTATGGTTCTGAATAGTAACAACAATTCACCATTTTCGACCAATGAATGGTAAACATAGTTGAGTACAATGAGACCTATATGCAGCATACAACAAACAATACATTTATGCGTGATTTTTTTCTTATGAGCATTTTCAGTTAAATAAGAAATCTATGAATAAATGAGAATAGTTACTCAATTAAAGGTCATGTTTTCCTTTTTTACCAGTTAGGTCAGCTGCAAAAAATAGAGACCTTAAAACTTAAAGTAACTGAGACCTCGAGAACATTCCAAAGTTCATCTAAGAACTCTTTAAAAAAAATGATATTTTGATTTAGAAGCTTCTATGCGCAGTACATCTGACACCGATCTATAGTGTAGGATGTGCACACATGCGTAGTTAGCAATTTGCAGAATGAGTGTTCATGTCTAGTTACTATTAGATGAAACAGCATTGAAGACTATGGAGATCATAAGAATAGTTTATCTTGATTTGAAACAAATATTCTTTGAGTACCCTCAGATTTCTTACTGTTTGAACTTATTATTTATGGTCTTCAAGTTTTGTGAATATCACACTGTCGTATGCATAATGTTTTAAACTGGAACTGTACATATGATTTGTGATGCTCTACGGTTCAGTGTCACAAACGATTTCTATTTATAGTCCACTATATTGATCATTTTCAAAATAGTGTACTGCCTAGTCGTTTCAAACAAGAGAATACTAATTTCCCGTCCTTCAAAACAGTTCTGTTTTGTATGTGGGCGTGAATTTACCACGTTAACTACCTAGTTAGATCGCTTCACAGTATCTTCAAGCGGCAGAAGCCCTGGTTCTTAAATGACATAATAACAGTGATGACAGAAATCCCAGGGATATTCGTAAATTAGCTTTGCACTCACCAATCGTCCGCATGACATTTCGTAATTCAAATGCCTCCAAACTGCCGGTATGACCTTCGTCGAACTTTTTGAATATAGTCTGAAAAAGAAAATTTTTATTTTAGGAAGAAAACAATTTTTCAGGTGATTTAAACGCATACATCACACTAAAATATAACACTACTGATGTTCTTGGATTTTTACCTGGAGTGATTCACTTTTCAACACTAATACATGTGGATATTCTCTGTACAAGAAACAATACACATGATGTTTGTTGATAAATAACTCAAGTTTATACCTCACAGGTTTGATTTTATACCTTTATGTGTTCAAGTGTGACACCTGTGCAGTGATGCTTCAGCTTATAAGAACTATTGACGAATTCATTAATTATTATCATCATTCCCTTGGGCTCTCAATGGGACGTAGGGCTTCAACTGCTTCATCTTCATTTCACTCCGTTATCTGCAGTCTTTTTTTAGCTGCTTCCACAACTGCACACAAATTTTCATTTCCTCCCCACTCGATCTCCTCCATGTCACATTCGGACACCCAACTCGTCGTTCCCCATTTAGGTCTCACTTGGGTGTCTGTCTGGTGTGTGATGTCACTCAACAGTCTTCTCAGCCGATGTCCAGTCCCCTTCCACTTCCATCTGCATATTTGTTGGGTGATTGGTTCTTGGTTGGTTCGTTTTCAGAATTCCTTGTTGTTTATCCTTTCTGGTCGCTTGGAAATGCTTTTGGTGACACGTAAATCAAGTATTTAAATCACACAGAATCACTGAGTGACGTGACATTCATGTTGAAAATCCGAATATTGTTCCTCTTGCTGAATGCAGTAGATTATCATACTGACTTCAGAGTAACAAATTCATAGCTGATAATATATCACTCCATCAATCTCGGGTTATATACATAACACGTGGAGGTTAAAGTAAAATAGATACTAAACTGATCCAACCGCACACATACTTTTAGTATTCAGTTGAATTAGCGTTGCTTTGACTGCCCAAAAGCGCCAATTGCCTGAACAGCAAATTTTAACAATAGTCATTTTCAATATATGATCAGTGTTTTAGCCTCAATCTTCTAGAAATACCTTAGTTTTGCATAAACAGACGTTTCTAGTGAATTCTCCCCCTCCCTACCTTCTGTTTAGTGCAATAATCCTATTCCTGTTACATGCTAAACTTTGAGGATACTTGTTTTTCCCCAATTCGAAAGTGAATATCAAAAGAAACAGTTATGCAACCCACTTTCTATTCTAGTACTAATTTTTCTACGTATGTTTAAAAGCGACACTAGTATATATATATATATATTCCTTTACGTTCCCAGTGGAACATAGGGCTTCAAGTTAGAGCTTTGAAGTTTCAGTAGCAGTGGTGTTCATTTTTACGGGATGGGGTTGCAGACCTCATGCCCAACCTTCCCTCTTTACGCGTCTTACTACTGGCATAGCGAGTTAAAGGAGTGCGTCAGCTGGGGATCGAGGATTCTACGGCTGTACCATCGACGCACAACTAGTATATATACTACAAGACACAACCATTTTCGGTTGCTGAATCAATTCTTGAAATATAAAAAATTTAATAGTTATGAACACACAAAACTATGTATACTTAAAAGCGTAATACAGAATCCTGATGATCGCAATTGAACGAGAATGATCAGATTCAAATTTGTGGTCAACCGACAAACAGTTGAATCAATTCCTGCAGATGAAGTTATAGCCTGCAGTCAATACACCGCATATCAGAAACTCACTCTACACAGACGTCAGTAGGGATGTCCAACCTTCTCCCATTGTTTTCGAGCTTATTGTCAGCTCTATTGAACTAGACGAGTTTTTCGGAGTTCATCTTTGGGGGATCGAACTATGACCTTTTAATCACTAGTCAAAATCATTTTCAACTCTTTAAGAAAACTTAACAAAGATGTGTGGCTTCATCCAAGGGATTTCAGGCTCGAATCTCCCTCTATCTATTGTAAATCATCCCAATAAATATGGCTAACTGAGTTCTAACTAACTCCTAAAAATACAAATATTCATAATCTAAAAGGAAAAACAACTCAGTTGAATATTTTCACCTGCCTAATTCAATTACCATTATCAACCGTTAGTCAGTATTAATCTAAATGTATTTTTTTTCTTTCAAACAGAAAAAATTCGATTTTTGCAGTAATAAAAAAAACCACAAAAAAAAAATTAATAAAAAAGAGTAGTGAATCAATCAATACAAAAGAAAGAAAAAATGAAACACAGGGATGAGTGTGTGTGCATGTATGTGTTTGGCATTCATTACCTTCCAAATGCGTAATTCCATCCACAGTTTTTTAAATTCTTGGAAGCCTAGACCACCACTTAAATCAGCCTATATAAAGCATTTTGTATGAATAATATTTCGAAGAATTAGAAAAAAATATATACACCATATGGTTAAGGGATATAAATAGCTTATTTATATAATTTATTGTATTTTGTATAATAAAGCAGGTGTGATTAAGGAGAATGCATTAGGCTAATGGGTATACTGGTCTTAGCAGTTATTTACTTTTCAGCCGCCTTCAGTGGATCGTAGATTCTAATCCAACCTTGACTACATGACCCTCGTTAGCAGGATAGTATGGTTAACCTTCACAATATGAATGTAGCTCATCGTTTATTGAACTGACAAAAAAGACTCTAGAAGATTTGGACTTCGCAGATGGTTTATGTTTAATGTCACACAAACTCAAAGATCTGTAGACGTGAACCAATAAGTTGGTAGAAGAAACAGAGACAGGGTTTCAAGTGAACACAGAGAAAACAGATGCGGTGATGAAGATGACGAACCAACAAGATAAAGCACCCACCAACCGCTATCACATAAGAAGTCACCTCTTTCACTTATCTAGGAAGTATCGTTTCAACTATGGGTGATATAGATAAAGATGTCAAAGTCACTATCGGAAAGGCAAGATAGATCTTCATTAATCTGAAATCAGTGTGGAAATCTACTGTACTCAGCATAAAGAACAAGATTCGAACTTTCGACAGTAATGTCAAGTTACTCAGAGCTTCTATATAGTTCAGAGAATTGACGCATGAGTCATGAAAAGCATATCGAACATGATTCAGACTTTTATCAACAACTGCCTTCTTTTCATACTTAAAGATCAGATGACCAATACGTTCCGAGGGCTTCATGTTAGAGCTTTGAAGTTTCGGTAGCAGGGGTTTTATTTTAACGGAGTAAAGTTGCCATCCTCACGACCAACCTTCCCTCTTTAATGGCCTTACTACCGGCTTATCAAAGTTTAGGAGTTCATCGACCGAGGATCAGACCCTGAACCAGGTGTGTGGTTGGCGAACGTCCTACCGTTGAACTACCGACGCTAAATTAGCAACGTGGAACTCTAGGAACGAACTAACCAAGAAGCCATAGTCCAACAATTATCCCGAAGAAAATGGAGATGCATCGAACACACTCTGAGGAGACGGTTGAGTGACACCACGTGTCAGGCCACTGCTTGAGTGGAAAAGACGAGTTGGGCGTCCGAGGATAACACAGAGGAGATCGTGTGAGGAGGAGATGAAAGCCTGTTAGTAATCAAGAAGCCAATTATTGTAATCGTCAAATAAGTGAAAGTTTGATTTTCCAGGGAGAAACTAGTCACTAAAAACGAATTGAGGTAAATATCTATTAAATTCTTTCAGATAAATACAATCTGTATGAATTAGCCATCAGTTTATAACATATGAAACTGTAGAGTACTATAAGTGTTTGGTGAGGTAGGTTTAAGCTTCACGACAAGATACTACAGGGCTTTTTGTGTTTGTTTGGTTCAAGATAGCAATAATCAGTCGGCGGGATTATTTGAAACTCAGTTTCGTGACTACTGTCATTCATCTGCCACTATGATTTGTATCAGAGATCGATATCTATATCTATTATCACTGACGACAAATTTACTTAGTATGCGATTTTGTTGAAAAGTTTTAAATTCTCTAGATCTTATCCTAGATGGAGTTGTGAATTGTCAAAAATACCTTTAGTTGTGTTTCTAAACGACATATTTAAAGACATCGAATTCATAAGAGAGGAAGAATTAGACAACAAAATCCCATTTTTAAATGTCTTAGGAGAACTAACACAGGAAATTTAGAAACACTAGTATATAGAAAATCAACCCACACAGACCAAATACTCAACTATAGTAGCAATGACCCAATTACCCACAGAAGAAAATGTGTGAAGACATTGTTTAAAAGAGTTCAAACACACTGTAGTACTTCCGTGTTGAAGGGAATGCAGGAAAAATACCAACTAACCGTCTTCAAAAAGAATGGATACCCTCGAAATTTCATCAAAAAGTGTTTAAACTCGAATCATAACATTAACAACAAGCCAACATCAAAGGCCACAAGAAAATTCATCCTACCATATATAGGAAATTTCTCCGAAATAATAGCTAGAATATTAAGACCGTTTTAAATAGATATAGCACACAAGCCAGCCAGCCAGCACAATCACTTCATTCGATATTGTGCAAACCGAAAGATCCAACGGATAAAGAAGATAAAATTAATACCACATACAAAATAAATCGTATGAACTGTTAAAGATATTACATCGGTCAAAGTGGGTGTCCCCTACGAATCCAAATCGAAGAACACAAATTAGCTGTAAATAGATGTGATATATATCCTTTCCTATCAATGCATGTAAATAATTATGGATACCGATTTGATGATTGGAATGGTATCAAAATTTTAAACAGGGTAAACACCAAAAATGCCAGAGAATTTCGAGAAGCCTGGTACTCAAGTGAATCAGCGATATATATATATATATATGTATATATGTATATTGACTGAGCAATTATTTAGTGCCACTTAATAACCTTTTCTGTTAAATAAATACGACTGTACAGCTTGAAAATGAAGTCGTTGAAAAGAAATTTCTTCGCTTAACAAAAAACTGTGTTTTTACTTATGAATCAGCGATTAACAAACATACTGCTACAGACCAAATTTATCAGCTAATAAAAAGTAAATCACGTGACAAGAAAGTTCAAATTCCAAGTCAATAAAAATGATCGATAGAGATGTAAATCAACTACCAGTCAGGAAGATGGTTGTCAGGAGACACAATTATATCACTCATAGAGAATTCAAATGGGTTCATTTTATACTCAAACCTGCACTGAAGATGTTGTCCAGAAGGACGACGAAAGCTTAGCAATTAAATCAACCAGCTCAGAGAACGCAACTAATTCAAAAACATCTTCAGTTTTCATCCGGAAATTTCAAGGGTTACTTCAAATGACGCCTAGTCTACTTTCTATTAATGGTGATTTTGAAAAGTTTGGAATAACGAAAATCTAGTTTCCATTAAATTTCCTCAGCTTACAATGAATTGTAACCAGGAAAAATTGAAGTTCTAAAGTTTAGAGATATGATGCTGCTATTCACACTACTAAGTGATTAGCATGAGTAGTTGGACACTGTTCACATCAACCACTTGTGCTGGTCTAGTCAGATCAAAGTGATCTAAACACCGGTTAGCCGTTTTTTGGGGTGGGTGGGGGCTGAGCTCATCAGTGGTGTACTCGGTTTAATTCAGTTCAGAGAGTCGAACCAGTCCAAACCATCCGAATTCTAGTTCACTACTGGTTAATGTGTTAAACTAAATACTGGAGAAAATTCACCTCGAGCTGTGTAAATTGTGAAATTAGTCCTTAATTTCGTCACGATAATTTTCTCTGTTCACAATGAAGTCAAATTAATAAGAAAAAAAAGAGCCACAGTAGAAAAGGATACGTCCATTAGGGCCATCATACTTCTCGCAGTTTCTCTACTGAATCCGTCGAATGGAAAGTCTGTAAAAAAAAGCAACATATAAAATAATTCAAAAATTTGACTAACTTATCAAAGAATTGAAACATTAAAAAAAATGAAACCTATTTGTTTCTTTAAAATATTGTGTTTTACTTTTGTTCTAATAAAATTTTATTACCAATTTGTATAGTGACACTGTGAAGTGTCCGATGCCTAGTGGGATCATGGGTGAGAATTACTAAAGAGTTCCAGACTAGGCCGAAACACCTGTCACAGTGTTGTCTGGTTTTCTATAGTTTTCTGAAATCATAGTGTGGTGAGGGCTGGCTGCTAGCCAACATTGGTAGATTAGTAATTTACGTCAATGTGTACGTCCCCAATATTGGTTATGAGAAAAATAAGAACAAAGACTGACTCAAAAACCAATCACAGTAGACTTTGCGTAGGCGGATATAATTTGCAGATAGATAATCTGATCTTCAAGAAATGGCCACAAAGAGATGAAAGATTAACGTTCAGTGAGAAACCACCAATCACAAGACTGCGTTTGTTTGCGTACAATAATATACCTGAAAATATAAAAATATGTGTTGATTTCCTAAATAAACGATCTGTAGCCTGGCCCTTGTCTTCTGCCGTTACAATAGAAGTTCATAAATGTGATGTGATGCATTGCATGAAGTACTCGACTCTCACAACCAATGATTCCCAGGGTCGAATCCCGCTCTGTCTACTTTAGCCTGAAGAGCTGAGGAGTAGTATCATCAGCTTCTACACATTAAGTATGCCACATAATCTAGTACATCGAGAATCCGCTACCGGTAGTTGATTTCTGAATCTATTTAAGATTTACAAAAATAAATGTAACTGGATCGAAATAAATAACAGTATCGATTTCGCGAGCAAAACACTTGAGTTCCAGCTAACATCATTTCAAACGATAAAGTGTTACGATATAATGCAACAGAGGAGATGGAACAATTACTATTTGTAATTTCATATGGTTTGGATGAGTGCTGAGAATAATATTCAAGACATCATTTACATAGCTAATTTTGGCGTGTGCTACTGAAGAGATTTTGTAAGTAGTATATCGTGTCTGTGATGTCTTCTGCAAGAATATTGATTAGTGAAGTGACGGATTAAATTATGGCGATAAGGAATGTAAGATCTTTGTAAAACAATATAGAAAACACGAAAAGAAGACATTAGAGGAACAATACAGAGAATATGTGCAAATAGAGATTTCAATTAGTAAGATTTTTGTATTTTGCTATGTCTGTACATCGAATTGCCAATATACGCAAATTTTACCCCGCTCTGCCAACGAATACCAGTCAATACTGATACAGGCTGATTAGTTCAGTTTATGGAAATTAGATTAAAATTTAAAAGATAAAACAAACAACAAGGAATTATAAGTTTAGAAAACATCTTTCAGTATATTTCCAGTAAAACAATACAAGGACGAGGATAGATGTAAACACATCTAACTAATTACAGTTCAAGTAATATTATTACTGACAATTCAGTCATAAGAAAATGTATGGATGTACAGATCAATAAAACAAAAGGTTAGCAAAATAAATACATAGATAGATAGACAGACAGCCTTATTAATAAGTAAATATGACATGCATTCCCGGTGGGAAATAAGGCTAGAAGCCTAGGTTTTAAAGTTTCAGGAGTGGTGATGTTGTGTTTTTATGGGGTGTGATCGCTAATTTAACTCCAAACCTTTCCTCTCTCTTTACCAAGCTATTTATCAGCTAAACAAGGTTTATGATTGCGTGGGCCGTTAAACAAGCCCGGAGCACATACGTGATTGGCGAATATTCTATCTCTGAAGCACCGATTCATATCAAAACATACTGTTTCTATTTGAGGTATTTCAAGAAGAAATCAACATTTCACGGTGTGTGCGCAACCGAGAAGTAACAACTACCCGCACACTTTTTCATAGGCACACAAGAAGTAAAGCATGAATTCTGTCAAAAGCTCCGTACTAGCTAAGTTTATTTTAAATGTCATACAGTGATGCAGTAATAACAACTGGATGACGTTTCGAGCGTAAATTCTTGCTCATAATTATATCAATTTTAGTCAAACGGTTTCATAATTTGTCTTATATATATTTTCTCTTTTTCTGTCTCTCCAACATCCCTTTTTTGTTGGTTGACAATTTCCATATCTTCGGTATAGGAGTTGTGCCATTTCAATGGCACGCGTGCGGCGTTGAATAGATAAACAAGTCATAACCGACGTTATTTCATGATGAAATCCTGAAACGAATCAAATCCATGCAAACCAACACTTGAATATCAATCTGATGCTCACTAGTGACTGGCTCTATTCAGTTAGGTAGTTACCTGGGTTCTAGTGGGAAGTTGTGACCAATGGGGTATAGCAGATCGGGTGTGAGGACAAATACTCGTCACCGATGAAACTTGCCAGTCATCGCGCCATATCGTGAAGTGGCAGAAGTTAGAATTCACGAACCATTGGTTGGGTCCTAGTGGCTTAATGGTCTACGAGCTCACCTTGTAAGCAGAACGTCTTGGGTTCGAATCCTGGTAGTGGGTGCGTACTGTGGAGAGTCTCAAACCAAGACGAAATAGCTGTCCAATTCACCCTGGTTTTCCAATGTTCCGCTAACCGATGTCAGTTCATGATGAAATTTAACAAACAAAGATTCAGTGACTAACCTCTCTGTCTCTCCAACTAACTGTATTACTTTTTAATGCTCTCACCCTGTCCCATCCTGTTTTGTGATTACATACAAGTGAATGCAGTGCAGTAGCTGAACTTCTTTCTAGGTTATTTAACTTACAGAGGTCAATTATTCTAGTTTTAGCTAAATTTTATGTTCCAAAAATCTAGTTGACCCCGGTCTATTAGTTTGACCTATGTAATTGACCTCACAGCCATTATATGGTATTTGGTAAATTATATTATTTTCCTCATTTGGATCTATTGAGTCATTAAGCCAACAAAGTTTATCTCTGAGAGAGTTGGTTGGTTTAAATACCAACCTAATTCCAGCCTCGAAAGCTGTCTAGTTTACTGTTAAAGGCAAAACGCTGAGATATAGTCATTTTAGCAGGCGACTTCAATGGTGTGCCAGTAAGAAAAGTATGTTACGGCCACCTGTGCCCTTCCTTGTCGACGAATCAATCTTCCTCCAAAAAGTGCTTTCTTGCGGCAACGTATTCATAACATTTTCCAGGTAGGGTGTATTCTCTGTCTTTTCGTGATGGGGGTGTTCTCACAAAAGTCAAAGGGTGACTGCAAATATTCGGAGCTTGCTTATTACTGGACTGTTAGACATGAAGGTTCACCTATGAGGGTTATCAAAACCCTGTTTCCGAATCTATGGTGTATATGGACTTCAGTATCCAAAAGGAATAAATCGCATATAATCCACCTGTTTGGGTTACCCGAGTCTGTGAGAACGCAGGTTCTGACACTAATCTGCTGCATTTTAGATCAAACTTGAAGTCCCATAGGACAACCACCTGCTTCAATTTGGGTGTCTTGGCAGTATATCTCAGCATTTGCACAACTAATGGAATAAGAATAAATCAAATATTCGCATGTACACTCCCACAAATTACTTTTTTTTCCTTCACATTCCCCAGTGGAACATAGGGCTTCAAGCTAGTGGCTTGAAGTTTCTGTAGCAGTGTTTATTTTACAGGATGGGGTTACTAGCCTCATGCCCAACCTTCCCTCTTTACCATTCTTATTACTGGCTTATTGAGGTAAGGGAGTGCATCGGCCGAGGATCGAACCCCGGACCATGTGCATGGTCGGCGAGCGTCCTAACCGCTATGCCACCGACGCACACAAATTACTTAGTCGTTTGTATATTCGGTGATTTGATCTTTTGTCATTATTTTTTTAATTCTTATCCACATATCATTGTGCTTTATTTTTATCACCATTCCATTTGTCTCAGTATCTTTACTTTCGTTAGGCGTTCATTAGTATGGCGCACATCACTTGGTGCTTATACTGTACAGAATGTATGTTTAGGTAATTAGCTGTTTTATGTGTATTTAAATTTAAAAACAATGTATATAATACATATATAATAGAAGAGTATTAAAACTCGAATGAGTCAGCAATTATACTGAGGATGTTAAGTGATTAAGTTACACTGAATATCAACCACTCTGATGCACAATTCAACCTATTTCAACGTATACTTCCAAGGTGGAATGGCTAGATGTTATATAACACGTATACGTAAAAAATTTAACATAAATATCCTATCATATAATTAACAGTTAACATCCTGAAATACACAACAGTTTCTATACTATTACTACTGTGGCGTGTGCTACTGATACAATTTATCAGTAGTATATATATGAAGAGATGTTCATCGGCATAAAAATATTACATAGCAGGGAGATAGATTTGATGTCAGAGGAAACAAATGATACAGAGTTCTGGAGATACATGGGAGACGTGAAAGGTACACAAAGAAACACAATATTGAGGGCCAGAAGTAGCACAACAGGACAGCTAGTTTAATAATGTCAAGAGTTTTCATACAATACTTGTGATTAGTTGATGAATAAACACGTACCTACCTAACTGGTCAATGAGTAGCAATACTGAGAAGTATTACAAAACTACAACTCATAAGATTACAAAGTATATATATATATATATAAGGCATAACTGGTTACCTTTTGTAAATGCTTCATTTAGAATATCTTGTAATTGAGTATACGTGATTGCTCCGCTGGCACCAGCAATTCTGTTAAAGACAACTTCTAATCTCTCTATCAAATTATCATCAGCTGTTCTGAGTGGTTGACTGGGCTGCATAAAATAAGTTTTGATAAGAAATGTGGACAAATTAAAATAGAATATCAAATGTTGTTTGAGTTGTAGAGCATTTAATAACTCAATTAACAGAATATATATATATATATATATATATATATATATATAACTTTTGATTACAGCTTGATGCCACACCGTATTTTCAGTACAAGTATGGAATTTTCAGCATGGATATCGGTAGCCCAAATTTTGCAGGCCAACCATAGATATCGGGTATGCGTCGGCAGGGGATCAAACCCCGGACCACGTGCATGGTCGGCGAGAGTCCTATCCACTGTGCCACCGACGCACATATATATATATCTTTATCTGTGATATAAGTTACATTGGTAGAACAGAAAGGACAGCACATCTTATATACTGTAAGTATGAACCGAAAGGTCAGCCTTTCAAAGAAACAAATAATTTCAACAGTGCTACAGTCAGGCATCCTGTTTATTATTCCTTTACTTTCCCAGAGGAACATATGGCTTCAAGCTAGAGGCTTGAAGTTTCGGTAGTAGTGATGTTTGTTTTTAAGGGACGGGGTTGCTAGCCTTACGCCCAACCTTCCCTATTTGCCGGCCCTACTACTGCCTAGGCGAGGTATAGGAGTGTGTCGGGAGGGGGATCGAACCCCTGACCACATCAGTAGTCGGCGAGCATTCTATCCGAGTGCCACCGACGCATTGATACGAGTTATGATCCACAACGGAAAACTCAGCGAAGCGTTTGGAGTAAACACAGGAGTCAGACAAGGGTGCTTATTATCACCAATGATATTCCTAATTGTGGTGGACTGGATTATGCGTCAGACAGTGGGAAACGAGAAGACAGGGATATCCTGGACCGACGTGAAGAACCTAGAAGACCTGGATTTTGCGGATGATTTATGTTTGATGTCACACAAAATCGAAGACTTACAAGCGAAAACCGATAAACTGGTCGAAGAAGCAGTAAAGATAGGACTCCAGGTGAACATAGACAAGACGGAGGTTATGAAAATAACCAACCAACAACAGCAGCAACATCCAGTGCCAATCACCATCAACGAGAGGGATTTGAAAGAGGTTACTTCTTTCACTTATCTGGGGAGCATTGTCTCAACCACAGGAGGAACGGACGAGGATGTCAAATCGAGAATCGGGAAGGCGAGAAACACATTCATCAACCTGAAACCAATCTGGAAATCCTCGTCACTCAGCATCAACAACAAAATCCGGATTTTCAATACAAACGTCAAGTCAATTTTGCTTTACGGATCAGAAACTTGGCGGGTCACCAAGAATATTTTCAACAGGTTGCAGACCTTTATCAACAACTGTCTTCGCTCCATACTGAAGATTAGATGGCCAGAAAGAATCACAAACAAGAAGCTATGGGAACAAACGAAACAGGAACCAATCGTCCAACAAATATGCAGGAGGAAGTGGAGATGGATTGGACACTCGCTGAGGAGGCCGTTGAGTGACATCGCGCATCAAGCCCTCGAGTGGAACCCGAAAGGGAAGCGGCGAGTGGGACGTCCAAGGGTGACATGGAGGAGATCGTGTGAGGAGGAGATGAAACAGTATGGAATAACATGGACGCAAGTGAAAAGAACAGCAGAAGACAGAAGCAAGTGGAGACGTGCAGTTGAAGCCCTATGTTCCACTAGGAACCCAAGGGAACAATAATAATAATGATGTCGATATTTTGAAATCCTTCAAGATAATTAATAAAGAACGCAATTCAGTTTTTTATTTAATCATGTAAACTTTTGGTTTAGCCTTTTTCGTTTTGATTTGGAAGAAAAAAAGATTTCGTGTTTTGTTTCAGGGTCTATTGTAATTTCGGTTGCACTTACCATATTATTATGCATCTTATTAGTGATTTATTATCAACTCATATATCTCTTATCTTTCTGACGCAACTTGTTTTTCAAAGTATGCCAGATCCATTTGCTTACTTTGAATCGTTTTTGTTTATGATGTATATGAGTGTACACATTATGCGCATATTTTGTTTAGCATCTTAGAGTTTCCTGTTACCCGGTACCATATTATCTTTCCCGATACATTACATATACTTAGTAGGCATTTACAGGTTGTGTGCAACTGATAATAAACTGACGAAATGAAATGATGATATTATTACCTTATTATGTTCAGATCGTAATATTTGAATTATTCTAATCTAAAGTAATCGAGGATGAAAAATAAAGTTAAGAAGAAATAGAAGTGGGCTTCTACAGCCTATATTGAATAAGACTGCTTTGCGTTCTCACATAGAAGATTTCAGGGTGGGTTCAAATCCCACTGTGGATGTAAAAAATGTTAGTTGTTTGAAGCATGAATCGAATCATACCTTCGCATAGATTATTATCATGACGATTTAATCGGTCAGTGATTTATTGAAAAACAAGATTTTTTCTGTGTTAACACAAAAAGGTTTATTTCAACAGAGAAACTCAGGTGGACGATTTTAATGTGTTTTCATTCTCTGTGCTGGATGATTTTATTGCCAAGCTTTCGTTGTCCTTCTGGACAACATTTTCTGTTGAGGGAGAATAGTAATTATAGATAAGATTTTATTTTGATAAATCACACAGTGTTGTACAGTAATATTAACTGATGTCGTTCCGAGCACAAACTATTGCTCATAATCATAACAAGTCACCCACACAACTTTTTACTTCATTTATATACATGAGTGAAATTGATTAGACATTTGAATAAAAATCAATATAAGATAATGTACATTCAGAAATAATATTAGTGTTATCAATCAAATACAATCAGATGGGAAATAAGATATTTTTATAATCAAAATAAGTAACTCGTTAGAATGTTGTGATGTGTTTGAATTGAAATAGAATTTTAAGATTATTGATTATCCTCCTTTGATTTGACTGGTGGTAATAATATCTTCTATATCTCTGGTATTTGCGTTGAGTCATTTCTGTTTCATATGTTGGATGTAGACTCAATGAACCAGGATTCAGTAATCAATCTCTCTCTCCACCTACATAGATTACTTCTTAGAATTTTAACCCTCTCCCACCCATTTGTGTGGTTGTGTGTTAATGCATGCAGTGCAATCGCTGAGCTTTTTTCTAAATTACTTATCTTCTCGGGGTCAGCCATTCTTACCTTAGCTAAAATGTTCCGACAATCTGACTACCCCTGACCTACTAGTTTGACATGTGTAGTTGACCTCACGTACATTATAAAAATTCTAACAATTTACTTATTTTGAATATAAAAACACTTACCTTATTTCCCATCTGATTGTAACTGATCAATAACACTCACATTATTATTTCTGAATGTACATTATCTTATATTGATTTTTATTCAAATGTTTAATCAATTTTTACTCATGTGTATAAATGAAGTAAAAAGTTGTGTGAGTGGCTTCATATGATTATGAGTAGCAACAATTTGTGCTCGAAACGTCATCAGTTAATGCTACTGTATAACACTATGTGATTTATCAAAATAAAATCTTATCTATAATGGAGTTGTACTCTACCAGAGTGTCCAAGGTGAATAGTCATATTTGATAATCAGTTATAGTTATGCTTACGTATTTATCTACTATTTATCACATCAGCACTTCAATAGTGTATACTTTGGAGACTAACATAATAAACAGATATCAATGAAGAAATATCTTAGTGATATAAGTAATAATATACTTGATTACACTTACACGATCTGAATCAATAGTGATCTGTGTAACATCATCCAATTCACTGAAATTATAGAAAATAATAATGAGGTAGTATTAGTACAAGAAATTTAATAGTACATATTTTTAATTATAACACTAGAAATGACTATGTTTCATTTGTTGTTGCTGTAATACAAACAGTACTGAAATGACTTGATCTAGCCTGATTTAAATACTTTTAAAAGGTCTTTTATAATAAGTCTCTTTATAACATAATCAACTTGTGGTAGGATTCCAGAGTAAATAGTCTTAAGATTGGAGTACAATCCTGGGCAGGGAAGTCAGGTTAACTGATAAACATATATGCAACTAAATTGACTGATTTAGAGAGAATATGTTACGCAATAGCTGTTTTAAAAAGTAGAAACACAATGTTAGCTGAAGTACAGTTAAGTTTAAAGGAAAGTTACTAATGATTAGTCGAGGAAGTCAATCACTGTTCAATTGAATCATGCAGGTGATTACAAATCAAGAATTAAAGACTGTTTGTAATAGACAACAATGATTTCGGTTGTGCTGAATTCTTTGAGCTGGATAATCTGATCTTAAGACTTTTATTTTCATCCTATACATTATTAGTACCTATTTAGAATGAACTGGGATATGTAAATTTCTCTACATGTGGCTTAGTATCTTACTGATGAGCTTGGAGAAGACTGACTGTTTCCGTGGTCACTGTGTATTTTTTCTACCTATTTAACTGAATTGAATTCTAATTTTATTTCAGTTTAAATTTTATCCTGTGCATAATGGGTTATTATACTCCAACCAAGTGGGTGTATGGTAAAATAAGCTCAGTTTATAACCTTGTCGTAGGTCTGATCCTATGTGAGATCATCGGTGTACACAGATGATGAGTTCATTCCTTTGCGTTCCAAGTGGAACATTGAACTTCAAGTTTACGCTCAGTAGTGGTGGTGTTGTTTTTTTACGGAGTGAGAATGCCAGTCTCATGCCCAACCTTCTCATCTTACCGGGCTCACTATCTGCTAGGTGAGGTCTAGGAGTGTGTCGGCCAGGAATTAAAACCAGAAGACGTGAGTGGTTGGCGTATACTAAAAAGTTCAGCGCTTCTTTTATTTTCAGTGATTCTCTAACTGATACCGGCTTATAACAGACTCTACGGAGCAATTAATCAAATTCTTACAAATCTAATATCTGAATTTAATTTCATTGTTTTTTGTATTTTTTGATTGATTGATTAGGTCAAAGTTGATTACCGAGCTTCATAACACTTGATATTTCCTCAATACGAATTTTGTGAATTCCTCCAATCAAAATGTGTGAACGCTTATATTAGTGAATTTATATCATGACGTTTAATTTAGGGTCAAACTGTTATAACTGCAATGAATTGAGGTAAACCCGTCGCCAGTTTGTTGTAACTGTGGCCGGAATTAGATGAGGAACGTTGTCGCCTTATTCTATCTGCGCCTGACTAATATGCCTATCTGTTTCTGGTACCCTCCGATTCAGCGAACCACGCAAATATCAAAAGACAAAAGCTGGTCTGTGACTGTGTATTGTAGTACAACAACTACGACAAACTACTACGACGACGACGACAAATAAACTTATTTAGGAAATGGCATTTATACATTTTTACAACCAATACAGACAGCTAACAGTATTTGAAATAATTGGTCGTAATAGTCAATAACAAAATGCGTGGGAATGATGATATACCACTTATGCGAGATTAACAGTTGTTAAAATAATTGAACAATAACAAAGTGTGTGGGATCCTATCACAAACAGAAGAGGTAGATGCGTTAGTGGTTCAATGGTGGAATGTCAGTCAACCACGCAGGTGGTGCGGGTTCAACTCCTGACTGACTTACTCGTAAACCTTGTTTAACCGGTAGTAGTTCCAGAGAGTAGGGAAGGTTGGCGCAGCGCTAGCCACCCCACTCTGCAAAAAACACCGTCACTACTGAAACTACAAAGCTGAAGCTTGAAAGCCCCTATGCTCCACTCGGAATGCAGTCAGTTTTAGAGATTATATTAGATCTGTCTCCTTTGTTCATTATACACTTCAACTTGCATAGTATAAAGGTTTTCTGTAGGACCTGAATGTTCTTGTTGCAATCTTCGAGGAATTCACCTTACATTATAACATGTTGGTATTTGCTGGTGACTTTGTCCCAGTTTGTCTGATATTCATATTACCCATTACAATTTTGATGTCACCATGTGTCTTTGGTTTTGTCCAATAGTGCTTGCAGTTGTCTGTAGAAATCCTCCTCCTTTTTCTTGGTTCGCGTCATTTGTAGGAGTGTGGCATTGTTTAATAGTAACTTTCCTTCAAGATTCTGGAGGAGATCGGTTACTATTGTGTGAGAGACTTCGATACTATTGGTGACACATCATGATAGCCACACACCTATCAAGACATATGACATTTACATATACAAAATTACACAAATATAACATGTTCGTCTTCTACCTGACTAGAAACATTAACTACTGAGAAATTCAGTAGTAGATGAAGACATCAATCCACTGACTGACCCTGATGTCAGCAAACTGAAATCCACCAATCAGACGACGCGTGAGTCACTTACATTAGATGACCAGCATGAAAACTATGCACCTGTAAGCAAATTACACGTACTACCGGCTAAACGATGTTTAGGAGTGAGTCGACCGGAATCGAACCCGGACCATGTGTATCAATTACCCGTAGCTTTTTTCACAACTCTGATTCCCAATTATTACATCAACACCGAAATCTTAAGGCAGATAACTTTTGAGTAATTAATGCAAACAGTGGGAAATGAAATAGAACTTTCAAATTGTGCTTACTTTGAATCGCAAGTACGTTCAGAGAAAATACGAAGCATGAATTTAGCTTCTTCATTTGGATTAAATGTACACGGTAGGATAACATAATGCCCAGGTTTTAATCTATGTCTTCCGGTTACTTCACGCATATTAATAAATACAGGTGATCGAGCTACTGATGAATTAGTCATAAAAAATCTTCTATCCAATAAAAGATTATTTGAAGCTGATGGTGGCATCTGTTTTATAGGATAATTATTGGAGAAAAGAAAAAGAGAAAACAAGAAACAATTTTGGTGAGGTCGTATTGTATATGTTATCATCAATTCAGACATAGTAAAATGAGGTAACCATGTCGATTCATACAATGAACACTAGATACCGTGTTTTAAAAGTAACAAAAAGTCAAGAAACATATGACAAAGAAAGCGGAAAAGGACTACTCACTGTCTGTAAACAAGAAGCCTTTATATATACGACTACAATTAATGGGCGATATACCAAGCGAGATGATTACGAAGAAATTAAGAAAATCAGTTCAAAGAACTTTTAATGCTGGCGAACTACACGTATTATTCTCTACACGACCGATGGTGCTACCTCGAATGAAAGATGAAGTACCTAGACTAACCACTTCAAATTGTATCTACCAATTCAACTGCGCTTGTGGAGCGAGTTATATTGGCCTTTGCTCTAGGAACTTGATTTTTCGTGCTCGAGAACATATCCCACTATGGCTAAGTAAAGGTGTAGTTAAAACTATAAACAGCTCGATATTAGACCATCTGGTTCAAACCGGTCACAAAGCCAGCGTAGAAGAATCCTTCTCTATAGTATACTGGGTGCCTAACAAACTACCAAAATCGTCGAAGCACCGCATGCTCCAAACAGCAGAGGCTATTGCAATTCGCCTCAAACAACCAGTGCTCTGTGTCCAAAAGAAACAAGTTCAGCCCCTTCTACTGCCTTGGCCCTCAGTAGAGACTATAAACTCATGAATTTGTACCATTACCTTTCCTAATTCTCCTGACATTCAGTTTATTTTATGTTGATGCTGTTCAGCTGTAATTTATCAATATTATTGATTTGATGTTATTTAAACATTAATGTCGTTCATAAGACTAATTCATTCATTCATTATAATGTATATATAATTGTAGAACCTGATGATGAATTTATCGAAAAGAGTACTCTTTGTTCCGTGTCCATTCTTTTGAAAAAGTTGAGGGTAATTCCTGACCGGTTCACTTTTAGTCAGTTGAAAAGAGTATGATGTGTAAAACAGAACAGCTATAAGATTTCATCACACACCAACATCAGTCAGAGAACCATTGGATAACTGCCATTTCGCTCTGCTCTGAGACTCTTCAACCGTAAGTACTCGAAATCTTTAGGTTACGAGGTGAGGACTTCGACCATTCAGATACTAGGATGGAGTGCGATGATCCGTGAATTCCAACTTCTATCAATACGCGACAAATTGTGCCACTGTCAACCAAATTCATTGACGAGGATTTGTCCTCCCACCCAAATTGGTGGAGCTCACTGATCGCGACTTCTCATTAGAACTCTAGGTAATTCATCCCGTATTCAGTTGATAATGAGCGATTGCAACAAATGTCCGGTACTCCCTCGTTTTTAATGATCCTCTAATAGTTCTCGGTTCGTGATGAGATCTGCCTGATAATTTGTGTAAATAACACTTTATGAGTTACGCACGACTACCTTTTCTTCAAAAGTACACATTATTTTATTATTTCTCTTCCGAAAAACTGATACGTTTGATTTCTGTTCTTAATAGTTAGAACTGAAAACTTTACTTGCAAAATATTATTGTACTACTGGATAAAATTTAATTCGGTTTTGTTTTCAAAACAAATCCTTATCACTTTTGATGGATTTTTAACGCAGCATTTTACCAAATTCGTCTTGATTATATACATAGTGTTATACAAGATCATCTACAAAGTGAAGCCAAATGGTACAAAGGGCGTCAGGTTTCGGCTTTTGTGTATGGCGGAGGCTCTGGCAATTAATCAATACAACCCTGAACTTTGTATACAGAAAACGTTTGTCCAGTCTCTTATTCTACCTTGGTCTTAACCTCTTCACTAATCGTTCCTTGTAAATAAAATATATTTTGATTTTTTTCTTTTCATTATAATTTCACTTTTAGTTAGCTTTTGCTTTAATAATTAATTCACTATTATCACTCTCATATGCTCCTTTTGTATATTTTCACCCTCTTTACACTTGTTAAATTGACACTCAAATACCTTTATTCTCACTTAATAGCAATTTTAACCTTATCAAATTTCTATCTTTGTGCCGTTGAGTACCACGTAATTTTCAACTTCTAATTTTCACTTCTAAAGCGACTTCTAAAGCCACTTCTGAGTAATTATATCAATTATGCCACCCCCTATTACTCAATAATAGACCACTATATATTTTTGTAAGTATAAATACGATTGTACAGCCTCTGAAGATGATTTCGTCGATAAAGAAAATTTTCTTCGCTGAATCTGCCTTTTATTTTCTTCATGACTCAATGGGTATTTAGTAAAAGTTTGGTATGACTAACTGACTAGGTTCAGCATAGAACTTTGCAGAGAAGTTCGAGTTGCCACACTCCATGTAGCATACAAAGGAAGACAAAAGAAAGGAAAATGGGAGATTCAAAAGAACAATAATAAACAGAAATGTATAGAATAAAGAGTAGTAATATGGAGAAACAATAGAGCTATATTCGATATGATAAATCAAAAAGAGTGAATGCATCTGTGCCATTGACAACAATTTTGAGCCATATCATAAATTGTCTCCAGTCACTGATTCTTAGCATCCTGAGGACTCCAACTTGGCAATTTACATCTCCCGATGTGGCTCAAACTAACTGTTATGAATTTCATTCACTGATGAAGCCATGTTTTGATTTGACTACCCTTAACTCTTTTCCAACCTGATCCTATGACAGCTAACATTTCCCATCGAGGAAGGCGATGGCTAGGAATGTGTAACACATGTCCTAGCCATCTTAATCAACGTAGCTTCACAACTTTACCAACTGACTGTAGCATAATCTTACGTTTAAGAGGAGTGAATCACACGCCAAAAATTTGAAGATTTCTGCTCAATGTGTCCCGAAGACTCTGCATTTTACCAAAGTCTTCATCTAGGAGGATTATATCATTCGTAAATTCTAAGTCAACAAGACTATACCCTGATAACAAATCAATCTCTGAGTCGCTGAAGTCGGTTAGCGTGAAGTCCATTAGTGTGGCATGAAGATTGTAGTCGTCTAAAGAAACAACAATGGGAGAACCGTCGTGATGATGGCATAATCAGTTACAAATAACACGAAAACGACAGTAGTGGTTATTTATCATAAGTTTAGGAAAAGATTCGAGAAGTTTTGGTAGTTGACTTGGAGAATAGAAAAGAATAATGCACACTAAAAGATCAACAATGTATAAAATTCACAGATTTGTTTTAACCCTAAATTCAGCTGACTTTATCATTCATCTTATGTGACAGAATTGTTGATCTTGGAATCATGCTGAGTGATTGATAGCTGTTATAACTGTGCAAAATAGTAATTATCACTTTTACATTGTGAATAACAGTAATACTAATAATTAAAACCAATTAACCAGATCAGATATAAAGAATTAGATTTGACATGAATTGGATAAAAAGTTACTAAATAGAATAAGAATCCTCTTTTAAGGATTACGTAAAATCTGAAATGAATTGAATTTTTAATGTAGAATGTTGCTACACTATAGAGAAGAATATTGAAAGGTGAATTAGACAAAACAAGATAGAGGTAAACTACATTAAAGTGAAATATGCAAGAAAAAGAACAAGTACATGGAGAATAATGAGAATTTGATAGATCTGCTTCGGTAATTTAGTGGTAGAATACTCACTAACTACGCAGGTGGTTTGGTGTTCGATCCCCAACTGACGAACTCTTAAACCTTGCTTGGCCGGTAGTAAGCCCGGCAAAGAGGATAGGCTGGGAGTGAGGTAAGAAACCCCACCTCGTAAAAATTGAACACCACTACCACTGAAAATTCAAAGCTTGAAGCGCTATGTCCCACTCGGAACTTTAAAGAACATACATAATAATATGAAATAATAGATCTGTGAGATCATGAAGAGTCAATACGCCTGAGCAGGTTGAAAATGATTTTGAGTCACATTACCAGTAGTCTTCAAACATAGGTTCTTAGAGTCTCGAGGACCCTAACCAGGCAGAGTTTACACCTCTCTACGTGCATCCAACCAACAGTCAAAGACTTTATCTACTGATTGAGCATTTTGGTTTGACCACACCTAATTCTTTTCTAACTCGATCTTGTATCAGATAAGCATGCATAACAAGTATCCTATCCATTTCATTAAATGCAAATTCACAAATTCATCGAATCATTTGTGTTTCTTACTTAGAACTCTACGTCTAATCTGAAAGAGACTCAGGATGCTCACGTGAGAATGAAGTGAAGTGATCAAAAAGTCCTTTTAAGCAGGTGAGATAAAGAGAAAACTTCACTGGCTACTACGGTGATGTAGTCTTCTTATAATGCATATACATATACTGTATCTTCTTCCAGTTTTAGAGGGGCTAAATTCCTTATAAACAAAAAGAGGTCACGAAGATGTTTGATATCCTGAAGTAATTCCTCCGGGGCATGTTCGTCATGTTTTGAAATGAAATGGTCATTTTTCAACAATTGGAATTAGTGCAATACATATATTCGGTTGATAGTGATTACTATATACCCCAAATTTGGCGTAATTTTTGCTTGAAATCAGTCTAAAAGCTAAAATGACTACATGTTGCAGTTATCACTCATTTGTGGGACCTTTTATATTTCCCGCTCTTTGTGAAGATTGGGTACTGACTGGTTGGTAACTCGTCGATTTGTCATCAAATTTAGTTCTTGTTAAGATCACTAGAAAAAAAAAATACATATTCATCATCACAGTCAAGTGATTAGACTTTTGTTTGAGGAAGTAAATGCTCCCCCCCGTCTTCTTTTTGTTTTGGAGTTATCGTTTCAGTAAATGTTGTGATTAGCCTATTAGAATGGTTTTTAGTTGGCGGATTATATTCATGTCGTTTGCAGTCTACTAGAGGGTGTACTATTGGTAATATGAATAATTTTATTAAATTAATTCATTGCTGTTTGAATAGTAGTCAAATGGAGGATTTTGATCGCATTGTTTTGGTTAATTTTTCACTTCTATATTTAAAATTTGTTTTTCCCTTAGGTTACGAGAAGAACATAAGGCTTCAGCAAAACATTCCCATTTTGATCATATTCTATTCAATCGCCTTCAGCTAGTTCCACGATTGACCATAGGCTGCCATCTCCTCCTCATATGATCTCCTCCACGTCACTCTCGGACACACCTCCAACTCGTCGTTTTCTATTCGGTTTCCACTCGAACCATGACACTCAACGGCCTCCACAGCAAGTGTCCGATTCATCTTCATTTTCTTCGGCATATTTGTTGGGTTATGGATTTTTGGTTGGCTCGTTACCAAAGTTGTACGTTTAAAATGATATTCATCAATAAATCTTATTCTTTTATTTGGAAAAAGAAAGAACGAACATATTCATCTCAGAAACATATCCCTACCTTGAGGTCAGATTTAATCAGATTCGACACTGCAGATATGTTCGTTCTTTCTTTTTTCAAACTAATAAAGCGCGTCGGTGGCACAGTGGTTAGGACTATCGCCAACCATGCACATGGTCCGTGGTTCGATCCCCTCCCGACGCACAGCCGATATCTATGGTCGGCCTGCAGAATTTTGGCTACCGATATCACATGCTGAAAATTCCATACCTGTACCAAAATATACGGTGTGGAATCAAGCTGTAACCAAAAAAAAAACCGCTTGTACAAAATTCTTATTAGTTTTCATTCCTTATGCTTTCTGAGTAGAACATATGGCTTCGAACTTGAAAGTTACATTAGAGGTGGTGTTATTTTTTACGGGATGGGAAGGCGAGCCACAAGCACAACCTTACCTCTTCAGGGGTCACTATTGGTTGGGTGAAGTTTAAGAGTGCGTCGGCCTGGTGTCAAACCTGAATGTCGGTGAGTAACTGGCCAGGGTTCTACCATTAAATAACAGACACACAAAATGAAGGGGGCACGCAAGTTTGGGCCATGGATCCATCATTCACTAGGGTCAGTATTCCATAACTCCGATTTCTTCTATTCTACGGAGTTAAACAGTTCAGCGTGTCTGCAAATATTGGACGAAGAGAATTTGTTACAGGAGCACTTTATTCTATATTGGAATTAGGGTGATATTTGAAATAATCAGCTCCCTCAGAGATAACCTTTGTCGGTTGAAGGACGCAAGCTATCCAATTAAAAAAAATAATATTATTTACCATAAATCATGTAATAACTGTGAGGGGGACTAGTAGATCAGACTCAGTTAGCTTATCGGAAAGTAGGAACTAAGCTGTATCTAGAATGATTGATCCTGCCGAGTAAAATAATCTAGAAAAAAACCCACTCATTGTAATGCATTCGCTCGTATGTTATCACACAATCGGCAGGGGGTCAGTATAAAAGTGCTAAAAGGTGACACAGTTGGGTGGAGAGAAATGCAAGTTAATCACCGAATCTTGTCTCTGTGAATCAACACCAAAAATGTGCAACAACTATCCTGGACACATGGAAAAAACAGCAGGGGGTAAGGCTGTGCGAAACACGTCAGGAGTTCGTGTGAATATATCAATCTGATTATAATCAGAAGTACATCGTGCTTTAAAACGTCCTCCAGTGTGTTATGTATCAAATAAACTTAACTAGTACGAAATTATATTACACAAAAGTACTTAAATTCTAATCTTACATTAAGAAGCTGTTTATGTTTGTCTACTGTTTAAACTATTGAATACAAAATGCGCATAAATTCTGTATATCAGCGGTATATCTTACAGTCCATTAGTGTGGTAAAACTAACGAAGGAAGTTTATTAGAAAACCAATATTATTGTTATGATTAATATCATTATTATTATGGTTTCCTTTAATTCCTAGAGGAACATAATGCTTCAGCCGCAAGTCTCCATTGCGTTCGGTTCTCTGCCAACGTTTTCACATGGCTCCACGTATGCCCACATGCTTTCATCTCCTCTTGACATGACCTTCTTCATGTCACCCTCACGCTGACGACCAACTCGCCGCTTCCAGTGCGGGCTCCACTCGAGAGCCAGGAGTGTGATGTCACTTGATGGTCCACCTCCGTTTCTTCCTGCATATTTGTCGCACAGTCGGTTCCTCGTTGGTTCGCTCCCAGAGGTCCCTGTTGCTCATCTTTTGTGTCCATCTGATCTTGAGCGAAGACAGCTGTTGATGAAGGTCTGTAGTTTGTTCAAAGTGGCCTACGTGAAGCACCAAGTTTTTGATCCACATAGTGACACTGACTTCACATTGGGGTTGAAAATTTGAACCTTACTTTTTATGCTGAGTGCTGTTGACTTCCACACAGACTTGAGAGTAATGAAGGCTTGTCTTGTTTTCCCGATCCTTGCTTTGATATCCTCGTCAGTTCCGCCTGTAGTTGAAACGATGCTTCCCAGGTGGGTAAAGAAGGTTACTTCTTTTAGATTTTTCCCATTTATGCTGATTGTTATCTGTTGTTGTTGCTGCTGTTGCTATTGGTCAGGAATGTTCATCACCTCGGGTTTCTCTATGTTCACTTGAAGGCCTATCTTCTCTGGATGCTTCTTCTACCAACTTGTTGCTTTTCACTTGCATATCTCCTACTTTGTGGCAAATCAGACACATATCATCGGCGAAGTCCAAATCTTTCGAGTTTTTCGTGTGGGTCCATTTTATGCCTGTTTTCTCGCTACCCACTGTCTGTTGCATTAGCCAGTCTACCGCAATCGGCAAAATCATTGGAGATAGTAGGCAGCCAATTATTAGCTTTATTGGATAACGTGGGATTAATATACAGTTTTCCCTCTTTTTTCTCCATTATCTGTGTCATGTTTGTTCAGAATTTGACCATTTCTGCTTACTTCACATTTCTCATCCTATAGAACTTAGTTTCGTGAAAGTCCAACGTAACTTGATTCTTTAAGCTGCCAGAATTAAATCGCTGGGCTACTTAATTTTCCATTCATCAACATACATCATATTTACTCTATCTTATAGATAGTATTATTCACCTAATTAGGTCTACAATAATACACGTTATCAAACAGATTTCAGCCATCTGATAGGGGTTTTTCCAAGGAAATACTAGAAAACCATTGTAGGGTATTAGATAGTGCTTTGAGTAGAATGATACTGTTTCAGATAAAATATATATTATCGATTATTATTTTGACTGAAGAATCTGCACAAAAACTAATTAATATGTTGCATTTAGTCCTTGTTGTTGGTATAGATTGAGCCATATCAGTCGAATTCGCAATGTGGCCACTATGCTAGGTGGCTCGCCATCACAATGCACTCTGAAAAGTTGATATTGGATGCTTGGAGGCAATCGGAAAGAAGCCTTTAACCTAAGTTTCATGCTTGTTGGCAATTATAAATCGGCAGGGCGTATCTGCGATCTTGAAAGAACTCATGTGCTTCCTGAGTTTCTTAACCAGATTATCCAATACTGCAGTCAGAAGTGTTCCCACTGAGCTGTTTCGGTTGGCATCTGACCACCTGCAGAGATGTAATAGGTACTTTGATTGGACCATAAGTGAGTAACTAATGTCATGCGTCTAGTTTCTCATTAAGTGCAGACTGAATGACCTGGACTCTAATCTCGTAAGAGATATGAGTTCCTTCAAGAATGCAGATACAGCTTGCTGTCAGGTGCCCACAAGGACGAAACCTAGGTCTGAAGGCTACCTGTCGATTTCCCCCAACCATTTGAAATTGTACTTAGAGTAAACACGTTCTCCTTATTATCATTATTATTACCTTCTCATTATTTTCATTATCAATTATACTCTCAATATTCTCACTGTTACTAACTGTATAATTTATAATCCTTATCATTGAAATACAAATCACAATGAATAGTCAAATGGTTTTATGAAAAATTACCAAACATCTCCTTGATGTGGGTCATGAGGTGGAAATCGTGAAATCCTTAAAAAATTATCAATAAACAAAAGAGCTAAATTCTCCTCAAATTTTCTGAAGTGACCTCTGTTAAGCGCCTGAAACCCGATTTTTGTGGTCAGCAAGAAGCAGTTATCAGTTTTTACCTACCCTGGTGACTGGATGTCTTTATTCTCTTTTTCATTTGATTACGTAATCTTTGGTTTTAACCTCACCCCCTTGGATATAGTGTAATTTTGCTTGTCTCTTGTTTCTATGATTTGATTTGAACTCAGTACATTGTTGCCTAATTTATAAGTCACTCATCATCTTACGCATCTCTCGTTTTTATTACTTAACTCCTTTACCATTGTATGCATACATTTACTTTGCTTAAAATTGAACTATCTGTGTAGAAATTATATGAGCGTAGTTTTCTGAGCACTGTTTACTAATTCCGGAACCTCTTGTCAACTGACATCATGTAAAATTTGCAAGTATGTTAAAACTCTTCGGTACATAAAGTTAATAATTTATTTACGCTGTAAGCAGCTGATGAGAAACCTACGAAATAAATGATGGTACCACAAACTACTGTTCTTGCTTTCTTCAAATTCCTCAAGGGGAATAAATGCGTGATGAAAAATTAAAATTCGTAATTTGCAAATTACACAGTTAGCGATTAAAAAATTTCACTACAGTTTACTTTAGAAACTGAAATTATTCATGTCACGCACAACATGTGATTTACTTGATAGCATAAATAGTTGGTTAATAAGAAAGCAAGCATAAATGCATGATATCAAATACTACTGATTGATTGATATGAGAAGTTGAATACTACTCATATCGATTGGTAGTGCTTGTGGATTCAGATATTTTGAACTGATTCGACTCTCTGAGCTAACTTGAACCGGGTAGTCCCCTCTGATGAGCTCGACCTCAAACATACAAGACAGCTGTCCGACGCTTAGATCACTTCGATAATCTGGTTAGCAAGCACTACTGATTAATGTGGATGATATTCAAAGCCTCATCTCAATCAGTCAATCAGTAATATGTGGCATATTACAGTGAGATTTTGAAGAGGAATTTAATTAAAAGTAGTCATATTTGCTTACCCTTCTTAGTCTACTTAAATTTCCAAAAGTCTAAAACAAAGCCACAAGTAACTACTAGTGAACTAGATATAAATAGAAAGTCATCTTGAAAATGAAACCAACTTTTATGATAGCATATCTGCTGAACGGGTGTTCATTTTACTCTCATATTTTAAAAAAGGAATAAAGACAACTCCAACGGGTGCAGCGTTCTATGATTTAAAATTATCACAGTTGCACACTAGTATTTGACAAACTACAATCGTCTAACTACCCAATTTTCTCCTTCAAATTCAGTATGTGTGATTAGGATTGACAGGAGAACACCTATCTGGGTAACTCGTTTTTTATGATAAACACACAGTAAGCGTATCGTTCATTCACATTGCCCGTGTTGCTGGCAGTGAAATAATGATCTGATTAGAAGTTGTACCTCATAGCTGAACTGGAAGAGTTCCCGACTATTAGTCAGTAAGAAGGCGACTGGTTCGAATCCCCTCTCGAACCAGATTGTTATTTCACCAATGGTGATCGTCACGCATTACACAAATAAAAGATAAGTTGACGAATTCTTACCCGATAAATGGAATAACCAATCACATGGGGCTCAATATGTTTCTCTCGTAAACCTTTCTGCATTAAACCAACTACAAGTGTGCCACAACCATCACTGTCTGATTCATCTGGATTCATAACTTCAACATGAAATTGTGGATTCATATAGAAGGTATCTAAATGGAAAAAAAATGGTTGGAACTACAATATGCATGATTAAATTTGCTGCATAAAATTATACTACTAATAGTAAATAGAAGTGTTTCACGAAAATTATCCAAAACCCATCCAGGAGTCATTAATGAAGAATAAAACAATACAGGTAAGTAGTTGAACGAAGAGTCACCGTAGAATAAAAAAGTATTTGAATTCACAGTCACGGTATTTTCACTGAGTTTCAAACACCGAGATGTTATTAGCTGGGCAATGAGAGTCACCATTTTTGCAACGGGTATGAGTTGGCAAGTCGACAAAGAACGAGCATTTCACTTCAATATAATCGATTAACAGGAAATTCGAAATAAATTGAACAAATAACAACTGGTCTCCTGGTGCATAAGCAGTGGACCTCACGAACAACTAGATAATGTTTGAAACGGTGCGTGATAAGTTCAAGTTCCAGAGGAAATACCATTTCTCAATACAGATGTAAGTACATCCAATTGGCGAGTCCACAATAAAAAAAACAAGCACATCTTCGATTCTACTGCGAGTCATCAATAGCCAAGTAACATCATGTCGATCTGAAGGCATCGTTAGAGTGTACTTAATAGGAGCGGAAAACTCAACAGAGACTAATATAATCAATCAACGGGGAAATCAAAATAACTTCGAAGAATAAGATTTGTCATGTATACTTGAGTGATGCGTTTGAAACACTAAATTAGAATGGTGAGAAATCACCACTATTCCATTTGCAAGCGAAAAGTACTCATATCAAGATATGTGATCTACCTGATGTCATAAATAGCGACAAAACAAAGCGAAATACCACTGTGCTATATATACTACTCATTCACATGAGTAGTTGGAAATCTCTCAAGTCAACCAATGGTGCTTGTTAAACAGATCGAAGTGATCTAAGCACGGTAGAGTCTAATTTGCTCGTTCTGTATAGAAGTCTTTGATATATGATCTGTTTGATACTGTTTGATGTAAGTGGTTTCCAACTACTGATACCGATCAAGCACTGGGACATACCATCACACCAAGATACACTAACTTTATCAAAACGATACCTTTAAAGTTACATCCCTATAGTTTAACCCCATCTTGCGAAGTTTGTAAACCTTAGTCATAAAACTGACATCGACTTTGTATTGGTTAAATGTATTTCTGGTTGACAGATTTTGAAAAAATTGTTCGTACGCTCACATTAAGCCACTGTCACGTGTATCGTAAGACTATAGCTACACAGGCTAGATCTCAGTTTACACCTCACTAATTAAGACCTACACGTCATTCGCAAACTTGCATATCCTTCAGAAATTAACTATAAAAGTGAATGTGTTAAGAGTTTATTATTTAAAAGTGAGTTTTAAGGAAGCCAATTCCGTCCTATGTGGTTTTTAGTCAGCCTCATTTAATGTATGAAGAGACAGAATATTAGTTGATTCTAACAATTACGTTAATTTTTACTTGTTATGGAACAGGCTAATCACTGAGTAATATGCTTATTCAATCTACTTTTCAGAAAACATTGAGCTCAAGATACCTAAATGGAGATAGAAACAAAAAGTTCAAGGTCTGAAGAAATCAGACAATCAATATTGAAAATAATACAGAAAAATATTATTTTGTTCAACTTCAGACTAGAAGTTTGAATCACATGTTGCTTGAAAGCTAAATGGGATCTGCTCGTTAGCCTATTTATAATTCATTTCTTACATTTCGAGTGGGACATAAAGCTTTAAGAGTTCTTTTCCTCTGTCGTTTGATACTACTTTGGCTTTCAAACTGTCATTTAGGATTCTGATTCTGACCGCAGTAGATTAGTAACTCTACACAGGTCACTTCAGTTAGGATGGATAAACTTCTCTGTCAGTCGTGAAGTCATGACTTATATATGCACCGACAAGATAAAATGATTGGAAAGCTTTTGATTTGTTTATTTACGACTTAAAGTCCTGAGGATTTGTAAATAATTAATGTTGTGGCGGTTATTGCTGTTGTTGTCGTATTTTCCAGTCTAACCTTTGAGTGAGGGATGTTTTCAGGTGGTCAGTTAGTTGTGATTTCATGTCTGGAGGCGCATTCAGGTGAAGTTAGATGAAGTCGACAATCCAATAACCACCATATTTGATCTCATAGATTCCTAACATTTCTATGCATTATCTCATTTTTTCTGCAATATGAGCAGCACCAAACATAGTTCAGGCATTCCACCTCTCTATACTTACTTAAGTCGAAAGAAGATACAGCCGACTAGCTTCATGAAGGCTTTCAAAAGCCTCGATGATACATCCTCGAATTGAGGAGTCTTTTTGATTCTAGGGTAGAGTAGATTTATTTTCGAGAGCTTCGAAGATTCAGTAGTGATGGTGTTGCTTTTTTCACAAGATGAGTTCCTTGTCCTATTCAGGCTTAGGACCAGTTAGTAAATTAAAGATTATGTGGATCATGATAAGTGTCGAGGTAGAGGCACCACAATTAACAAATAAACCACAGGCTGTTGGAAACATGTTATCCTTTGTCACTCAACTATATTATGTGAAAGAATCTATGCGGACAGTTAAGGTGAAGTTCACAGACTGCTCACTTTCATCCTATCCAATTGAATTTTTATTTGGTGATCTTTACGCAGTATGAGCGTTTTCCTTCTTTTGTTGGTAAAATTGGTATTTTCACAGTTTATCACAGTGTTTTGATGTTACCGAATCCCCTTGAGTGAAGAACTCTGTAGAAATATTTTTATGTAAGTGAGTGGTGTATCCGACAGTCAATAGAATTCTTCATATAGTGATTACTACCAAACAAAGCTTCATTACACATTTTAATCGATGTCTTTTTAGTTAATAACGAGTATAAGACAGTGAAATCTCTGTAAAGTGTTAAGCTTACTCGTTACTCTTTTGTCCTTGCTAAATACCTCAAAAGGAATACTAAGACAATTACACATAAAAAACTTACTTACTTGGAAAATTCGAACATCCTCCAGCAGTAGAATTACGCAACCATTCACCTTCCTCACGAATCATTTCCCACCGACGGGTAGGTCGACGACGTGTAGAAGCACGAGGACTATACGATATTGATTCTGGACCCAGATGGCATAATTCAAGACGAGAGAAATAGTGTACAAAATCACTAAACGACATCCTTTATAATGAACAATAAGAACAACACAAATAAAACACATATATAATTATTTAAATATAGTTTTCACTGAATACGATAATATATACATAATTGCAATATGGAGATGATGGGAAGTACTTGCACAATAGGCTGTGGGTGCTCATTTTTAGTTGATCCTATTGGGGAACATTGTATTGTCATGCTAGTCAGTTTTATCATTGCAGTCTATACTTCCCTACTCGGCTGGCTAAAACCAACGATTGAAAATTTCATGCATTGATGCCCTATTTTGAAGTGACCATTCCTACCTCTTCTCCAAGCCATCCTTATATCAGGATATGATGCAAGGCTGCCTGAGGATGAGTATTTCTGTTATTTTCAGATGTGGTGAGTTACTACTTCCCTGAATACAGACAATGTGTTCTTGTCAAGTTGGACGAGAAGCAATTTCATTGCTACTTGGCCCCTAGGTCAGTTTTTAGTTGTAGAGCATAAAATGACACAAACTGGTGCGAGTGTAGTCAACACGTGTGTTGCAGAAGAAGAGATAATCTTCCAATGATCCTCTCCATCGAGGCGAAACTGGGTAGTACATGATGTAAAGACTTTATGTACTATATCACAGATATATCGGCACACATAGCTACCTTGACATACAGTGAATTTGGCAATTATTTTCAACGTTTTACTATTCAAAGGTTCTACAAGAGAAGTGTTCTTACTAGTCTTGCGAAAAACATTCCATTTATAATGTGTAAGAGTATTATGCTTACAAACACTGACTTTTCAGTTAAGTAATTTAGACTTCAGTAGTCCGAATGTTTTCGAACAGAAGGTTAAGATTAACTGCATTTAGAAGGTCAAATCTCTAGGATGTACATACTCACACACTACCAATAAGCACTCGCTTCACAGTCATCTGTCGAGTATGCTGAGTATACCCATGAAGACTCCCGAATGCATACACAGACAAGCATTTTAGACGTACGTGAATCAATGGGTGCGTCAGTAGCACAGTGGTAGAATGTTCGCCACCCACGCAGGTGGTCCGGCGTCCAATCCCCGACCGATACATACCTTTACCTCACTAAACCAGTAGTCAGACTCGTAAAGAGGGAAGGTTGGGCATGATGTTAGCAACCTCATCATGTAGAAATAAATCCACTGCTACCGGGACTTCAAAGCTCTAGCTTGAAGTCCTATGTTCCACTGGGAACGTAAAGGAATAAATGCATGAATCGATAGGGAAAGCCTGTTCATTTAGTCAACTCTTAATTATTTGTGCAGACACATCGTCCTAGGTTCTATTGGTTATTTCTGTAGACATGAAAATGAATAGCTGTAACGTTACATATTAGTTGTGCTTACGTAGGTCTTTGCTTAGGGAATACATGTAAGGTATTTTTATTTTTTTATTATTTTGATTACAGCTTGATTCCACACCGTATTTTCAGTACAAGTATGGAATTTTCAGCATGGATATCGGTAGCCCAAATTTCAGGCCGACCATAGATATCGGGTGTGCGCCGGCAGGGGATTAAACCCGGACCATGTGCATGGTCGGCGAGAGTCCTAACCACTGTGCCACCGACGCACTCTGTTGTTGATTTTTGGTAGTGACTGGTTATTTGTTTTTTCTAAACTTTGAATTTCGTGTTAAATCAAAATTTACTATTAAAATTCCTGTTTTTCATGCGACACCTTGAAATTTAAGTTATGATTGATGCAATGTGCAGAAATTATCTCGGTAATTTAATGAAAATAAAAATCAGAAAGTTTAAGAGATATAACAAAACAGAGCGAATAACGTCTTGCTTCATTGGTAGTTAGTAGTTTTACATTCACAGTTTGTCAAGCATAGCAAACCAGAATCACTTTGAAATATCCTTCACATCATCACAAAATATTCTGGGATAGTAAAGATTAACTAGAATGTAACTAAGGGTGTGAGTATTAGTGAGTTTAGATTAGAGATGACGTAATGAAAGAGAAAAAAAACTGATGTCAACTCATGATGAAGTCCTCCAACAAATACCCTACAAAACCAATACTTGAAAATTAATCTGATGCTCACTAGCAACTGGCCCCATTCAGGCAGTTATTTGGGGTTCTAGAGGGAAGCCGTGACCAGCAGGTTGAAGGTGAGGCAGTAACTAACCGAAGAAAAAATTGCGAAGTGGTCGCGCTATGTCATGAATTGGAGGAAGCTAGAATTCATAGACTGGCCATCAGATTGGGTCCCAGTGGCTTAATGGTCTACGAGCTCACCATGTAACCAGAAGGCCCTGGTTTCGAACCCCGCTGGGTCCGTACTGATGAAGAGCCCTAAACCAGGACGAAGCAACTGTCCAATACTCCCAGGTTTTCCAATGGTTCTTTAACTGATGTCAGGTTATGATGAAATCCTCTAACCAATGATGCTACTAGTTGTGATACTAAAAATACAGGCTTTAAGTGAAATTACTCAACAGAGGTTCTTCGCTGAATTATTTATTCTCATTTTGGTGCAGATGTCTTACAAATAGAAGTCTTGAAAAAGAGATTCCTTACCATATTCACTGTGATTTTACGCACAAACCTTATCCTAAAGATCAAAACCACAATCATCATGTTATACTGCAGTAGAGTTACGTAGTCAGAAAAACAAACAAACAAACAGAAAACTCCTCGCAACTCCTTCGCATCCAAATAACATTTGCTACCAATTCGTTCTAGTTTGGAACTCTTCAGCAGGACATCCCTTAAGCTCCATCCGTGATCGGACCCGGGATTATAAGGTTACAAGGCAAACTCGTAGATCATTCAGCCACTGGAACCCGATCCAATGGCCACTGATTTCCGAATTTTGCCAATTCGCGATATCCACACAGCGCAACTACCAGCCAATGTCATAGGCGAGTAACTATTCTCTTATGTGACTTGGACCCTGATGGTAACAACTTCTCCCTACAACTCCAGGAAACTTCCGACCGACTGTAAGCATCAGATTAGTTATCAAGTGCTGGTTTGCAGGGATTTGGTCCTGGGTCCGAACCCAAGTGGGTGGTTTCGGTGATTTTCTAGCTGATACTGGTTTATGAGGAAATCTAAATTGAAATATTATTTTCATTCATTTGTTCTTTTCTTTACTAAACTTCCATATTCAAGGTGAAGTGACATAACCAGGATGAAGACATTATTTTAACATTTTGACAAAAATTACGCTTTCGTCAGAGTCCATTTTGTTTTTTGTTACTTCCGATTATTTATCTGAAATAAAAACGAAGCTTTTTTTTTCTAACACCGAATACGTTTTTACTGTTGTATTCTTTTAAAGTGTGAATCACACGACTATCTAGTAACTAACTGAAAAATTTAAGAATTATCTTTAACAAAATGTAACGAAATCAATTGTTTGCATGAAAGCGCTAGGCTGTTCATTTAGTTATTATTTTTTCGAAAAGTATCTTTTCTATATTCATTTTAGATAATTTTATATTTTCAGTTGTTAGAATTTCTTTGAGAACCAATATCAGTTTGAGAGATCAATGAAAACCAGCTGGGAGCACTGGACAGCTGTTTCATCTTACCTTGGAACTCTACAGCAGCGTGCGCCCACGACATCACACCAAGGATCTAATCCGAGGTGTTCAGGTTACGAGACGACTAAGCTCATTGACCATATAGTCACTTGATCGGGAATTCAGTGATGCGTGAATTCTAACATCTGTCAACTCGTGATATAGCGCTGCTCTCACCAATGCCTTCGACGAGCGTCTAATTCACCTCGACATGATGGTACCCCATTGGTCACAACTTCCCGCAGTAGCTTTAGGAAATCCATCCAGTAGATATCCTATGAATTGGTTACTTTATTTTGTTGTTGTATTATTGCGTTCGGCTAATTTTTCATGTCGATGACGCACCAAGTATTATGCAGTGCGAAGAAATAATAACACGTTAGCACATTGGACTTTCACACTTCAAAACACTGAGATCCAACACTTCAGAGGATGGAAAAAACAGACAGTCTATAGCTGCCTATATGGTTCAAACTAAAAACCAATGACAAGAATGAAAGTCAAACTCTAGTCTGATCACCTCCAACTTTTTCCAACCTAAATCCTATTTCAGCTAACAACTTTGTCAATGTAGTCCTCTCTTCTGCAGTAAACTCTGCGCTCAAGGTCATTAATAACTAACATGGAATGAGATTACCTATAGTCAAGAACCTCTTTGATATTTTTATATCTGTTACCTACTTACGGTTGTTCAGTGGTAAGATGCTCACCAGTCAGTCACACACGGAGTCTGGATCTGATTCGCCGTTAGCGCACTCCTAAATCTCACCTAGTTTAATATCTGTTAGGAAGCTTGAGAAAGAGGGGAGGGTGGGTATGGGACTAGCGACTCCAGTCCTTAAAACATAGCACAGGCAATGAAACTTCATAGCTTAAAGCTTGGAACCCTGTGTTCCACACTGAAGGCGAAGGAATAAGGAAAAAATTCTAGATGAACAAGTTTCACAACCTGTAGAGAAAGATGGAATAAAATGGTATGCAGATTACGCACACGCCTTTTGACTGAAAGTCAGATTTCCGGCAGTTTATTAGAGTGATGCAAATTGACGTTCTGGAAGTTTGTAGACAGCCAGACTACTTAAGACTTATCCAACTTCTTGAATAGGTGAGGTAGTCAGCCACATTTACAAACATTTCACCTTTTTTTATCCTTAACCAAGGAGTCAGTGCTGACAAACGATAAAAACAAACAAATAAACAGAAAGGAAGTTCATAACAGTACTTCTCATAGTTAGCTTTGCTTACTTGCTTAGCCGTATAGAAGTCAACTCTATGAGCTATAAAACTTTACTGTTTTCATTTAATCAGAGACTTCTGCTTAACAGCAATCAAACTACTTCTCATTGAAGAGTACTATTGTGGTGTGAGCTACTCAAGAGTAGTATATCGAGTAATGTCTACAGAAAAGAAGAATCTAATAAGAGGAATATATGGAAAAGAATACTGTTATTATTACTAATACCAGTGGTATTCCTGACTGTGGCTCACTAGATCATGCAGTAAACCATGAAAACTGAAAAGACGGAGATGCGTTAAGTCGACAGAAAGACCCTAGATGATTTGGATTTCGCACACAATTTATGTCTAATATTGAACAAACTCAAAGGTATACAGATTGTCAGGAGAGGCATTAAAGACTGGACTTCAGGTGAATATAGAGAAAACATACATGAAGATAACTAGAAGACAGTAACTAACACCAATCACCATCAACGCAAGAAATCTTAATTAAGTTGTCTCTTTCACTTAAATGGACAGTATCGTCTGAACTACACTCGGAACGGATAAGGATGTCAGAGCCAATCAGGATAAGAGAAGCAAGCATTCATCAATATGAAATCAAGGTTGAGATCTATGCTACTCAGCACACGAAATGGTATGTGAGTTTTCAACATTAATTTCAAGTCAGTGCTTGTATTTCATTAAGAGAATTACCGCATCACTGAAACCATTTATAATAGTCTACTGCATACTTTCATCAGCATCCATCGTTGCTGCATACTAAAGATTAGATGGCCTACCAGAAAGGATCTATTGCCTAACATATACGCAGAAAACAAATGGAGACAGACCCAATATATGCTGAGGAGATATTTAAGTGATATTAAAGGTTATAGAGTGGAACATAGATCGGAGCTGAAGAGTTGGGCATCAGAGTCTGACATGTAGGAGACAGTTTTAAGAAGAAAAGAAAGCTCGTGGGCAGTAGTCAAGCCAGATAAAAAAAGATGGGAGCGAATAAGGTACAATGTAGTTGGGATGCAGACGGCCTATGCTCCGCTTGGAACGTAAGGAATTAATAATAATGACAATTTGCAAACTGTAGCATCATTGTAAGGTTTGTGATTGTCTTAATGTACATTGATTGTTGTCCGATTGAAACATTACTTATGCCATCGTCATTACTCTTCACATCAATATTACATGAAGGATCACTTATAAATGATAAGACATTTACAAGTTATTTGGTTTTAGCCATAGAGGCATCAACTATGTATGGAATAAAGATGAAATAACAGGATCTAAAGATACCATGAAGGCGTAAAGAAAACCAAATTTTAGATAGAATACTCATTGCCTGTAGGCAAAGCAGACGTTTATCACTCTGAAATCAAATTAAAAACCTTCTCTTCCCAACTTAAACAACAAAATTCTGTTTCTTGGCGTCAATTTCAAGTCACTTCATCTATGTTGGTCAGAGACTTGACTGACGCGCCATCAATAGCATTTTTAACAGACCAATGAAGACCATCAGCAGCAGCTGCTTTTGATGGCTCCATAATGAAACTCAGATGGACACGAAGAATTGGCAACAAGAAACTCTGGGAACGAACCAATCAAGAACTGATTGCTTGACAAATATGTGCAAGAAAATTGAGGTTTATCAGGCACACATATTGAGGAGACCGCTGAGGGATATCTCGCACCAAGCCCTCGAGTGGAACAAGAATGGGAAATGACGAGTTGGGCGTCTGTGTCCCCGAAGGTGACATGGAGGAGATCGTGTGAGAAGGAGATGAGAGTCTGTAGGTAGTCGTGGGTGCAGCTAAAGAGGACTGTGTAGGTTACATGGTGAAATGGAAGCGTGCTATTGAAGCCCTATGTTCCGCTTGCAACGCAAGGGGATTATTAATAACAGCGTACTCATTGTCTGTAAAGTCAAGCAAATGGCAACATCTTTGATCAACATATCTTGTATTATAATGAAAGTATAGACATAGAAAGATGTTTTATCACAAAGTAATCAGTCAACTACATAAGACAATTTATTTTCCTGAAGAAAAATTAGAACTATATATTCCCACTGAAAACAACATACTGACAGTAAACACCTATGAACTCACCGGACATTGAACCACAGACCATGTCACAAGGCGAACTCGGTGACCATCTAAGGTTTTACACATATGTTAACTAACAGAGAAACCTTACCTATCTCATTTGAACCTTGTAAATAATCTAACATAAGATATAAATTCACTAATACACTTACCAGAATTCTCCATCCTCATCAAAAGTAAGACCAATGCGTTTTCTTTCATCAGGTGGTATACTTCGCCATTCTTTAGATTGATCACTCCATGGACCAGACCATTCACGTTCATTTCCCCATGGATTACGTAATCGTATCAAGGAAACACCTTGAGAACCATAGTTAGTGTGTACCTTGTTATGAAAGACAAAGTTTATCAGTAAAGAATGGAATTGAAAAGAAAGAACGCTTGATACAAACAATTCTTTTTTTATTCTTTTACGTTCCAAGTGGAAGATAGGACTTCAAGCTAGAGGCTTGAAGTCTCGGTAACAGTGGATTTATTTCTACGAGATGAGGTTGCTAGCCCCATGCCCAACCTTCTCTCTTTACCAATCTGATTAGTGTTTCAGCAAGGTAAAGGTGTGCATCGGTTGGGGATCGAATACTGGGCCACATGTGTGGTTGGCGAACATTCTACTACTGTGCCACCGACGCACCAAAGTTTCAAACCCACGACCTTCTGGTTACAAGGCGACCTTGTAGACCATTAAACCACTGGATACACAATTCTCACTGATGCCAATTGAAGACTTCCCGTTTTATTCGAAAAGAATTTCATTCCTCCTTCGTTATAAATATCACTGACGAACTTGAATATCTATAACCACTTCTAACCAAATTTATGGAAGTAGCTAATTAGACCAGATTAATGTAAATATCAAGATAAAAAATCATTAATGGTGCCTGTTGTTTTCCTTGAACTGTACGAAAAATTAGGCTTTCTGAGATAAATCAATATAGACAACTAAAAAGCTCGGATCCATGGTTTAAATCATTTCTATGCAAACAGTGAGCAATCCTGATTGAAGTCAGTTAATTGGATCAGATGTTTCATATATTATCACATTATGAGCCACACTTATTGCATGACAGATCATGATACTATCAGACGGCACAAGAGGAACTAAATGAGTCAGAATACGAACTACTTATCATTAAAACACACCTTTGATGACGTAATACTATTTTTAATCTGTTTTACTTTCCCTTTACTTTGTTGTTGATGATTAGCAGTGGAGTCTAGGAAAGGAATGTTTCGTCCTGTCTAAAACTCATCGGCTGCATTTACTTGCATCTCTAGTTTGTCTCACTCAGAATTAAACCTAGAACCGACTGCTTTAAATCCTGAAGCGTTTGCCACAAGGCCAACTGGTAGCAGAACCCACCACCCGTTGGTACCTTTTCCATTAAGGACATCAACTGATAAAGTACCATGTTCCATATAGAATATTTCTATTTAATTGTACGATAGAATATTGAACATTGAATTCCACTGGTATAACAAGTTTAAGCAAGTTCAAAGGAATTGATTTATTTCAGTGAACAAAAGGATTAACTCAAGGATTAATTAGAAAGCATATTTTTTCTAAAAAGAGAAGTTGTAGTTGTTGTAATAATTAAAATAGTTTAAAACAAAAACGACTAAAACTGATTGATAAGAGAATACACATAGTTAGGGTCTAGAAAAAAAAAGTAGTTTGTTATATAAGTACAATAAATATACTAACTATGCATCAAGATAGAATTAACAACAAATATACATCGATTTTTTATAAGTTTATAAAAGACTAGTACGAGATTCGATCCAATAGTATCTTCCTTTTTCCTTCATACCTAAAACAGCCTAACTCAGTTGACTTTAGAAATAGATACCGAACATCATCTATCACGAAGCACATTATGGAGACGAATCATAAAAAAAAGATTTGGTGTTTAATAAAAGAAGTTCAAGGTGTTCAACAGATAAGAAAAAAAGTGGACACTATTCAAACCAGATATAAACGTAAATCAATATAAGTTACGAGGACAACCAGATGGCGTCTGTTGGATTTGAGAAATCACTATTAAATACACCGACTAATGGGAACACTTGGAGATTTTAGAATATTATTATTGCCTTGGGTTCCAAATGGGTTTCAACGGAACATTTCCATTTCATCCTATTCTCTGCAATCCCCTTTAGCTGTCTGCATGATTTCCTGTTAGCTTTTACTTCCTCTTTACACGATCTTCTAGATGTCACACTCAGAAATCCAACTCGTCGTTTTCCATTTCAGGTTTCACTAGAAAGTATGCCTAGCACGTGATGTCACTCAACGGCCTCCTAAGTGTATGACCAATTTATCTCCGTTCTTCGTCAGTTAGTTCTCAGAGTTGCTTGCTGCAAATCTTTTTTATCAGTCTGATCTTCATTATGGAGTTGGCGAAGTTAGCTGTTAATGAAATTCTATAACCTGTTGGAAACGGTTTTGGTGATGCGTCAAGTCTCCGAACCATATGGTGTACTGGTTTGACATTCGTGTTGAAAACCTGAATCTTGTTTCTTGTGGTGAGTGCAGATTTCCACTCTGATTTCAGATAAATAAAAGTCTGTCTGGCTTTTGCGATTTTGCTTTCGATATCCTCACGCGTGCTGCCTATAGTTAAAACGATGCTGCCTAGATAAGAGAAGGAAGTGATCTCTTTCAAATTTAATCCAATGATAGTGATTGCTGTTCTTGTTAGTTAGGTATCTTGGTCACCTCTGTGGAGTCATATCTTCACTACTTCTTCCGTCAACTTATTGTTTCTCGCCTGTAGATCATCTAGATTATGTGACAGCAAACATGAATCAGTCGTCCGGAAATTCCAAATCTTCTACATTCAGCCCAACGTCCGTCCATCTTCTTGATCCCCACTGTCTACCGCATGATACTACTAAGCAATTATTTGTATAAACAGACGTAACACATTGTCAATGTAGTGTTAAGGCAACAGACTCAAGCAACAACTTGTAAACATTAATTTACAACTACAGTAACTTAATAAGCAAAACTTATGTGCAACAAAATTAGACGGTTTAAGTCAATAAGTAGGTTTATCTGTCTGTATTTATTAATCACAGATTGAGTCAAAGGCTTAGTTGACGAGTACCAACAGGCACGAAACCTAGGTCCAAGGCTTACTGCCGATTGCCTCCAACCATCTAATCACAACAATTCTGAGTGCACCATGATGGCGAGCCACCTACCCTAGGATGGTGGCAAACTTAACTGATAGAATTCAACCTGCAGTAAACAAAGGACTAGACACATGACACTAGTGTCTAATCAAAGTATCTAATACAGTCCTACAGGAGGTCAATCACGAGTCCAAACAGCTCATTGGTAACTTCTTTGGACTGATGTACTGAGCTGCAAAGGTTCGAATATCAAAAAGGACATGAGTTCGCAGATACGCCTTGCTGACTTGTGAGTGCCAAAAAGCAAGTTGTTTACAAAAGGAAGGTATTTCTCATATAATACATTCAATGTATGCATATTATGCTATCGTACATTGAAGAAAAAGATCAAAAATGAATCATTGTACATTGAACAGGAAAATCTAGGCAACTTTATAAATAAATATTTGACCAAACCAATATCAGTGATTAACCAATCAATTCTTACTAATGAAAAACAATAGACTAGATTGTTAGTTCGGTGAAGTTAAATTACCTACTTTTCGGATGACAGATGATAATATAACGATTTGTAAACTTGTTACACTATAGAATATAGTCCGAAACAAATTTGTTTCATAGGGAAAAAAAATAAAGTTATATGTTGAATACAACTTCTTTTTCATCATATTCACATCAATTTGTGACAATGTATAGTTCGGATGGTTTCTGTATTTTCATGCCCAACAACAATAGGCTTACATTGAATCGTTCTGTTTAGTTTATTATTCTCCATTGATATTTTAACCTTCAGTGAAACCTTTTAACTTGGTCTATATTGGAACTCATGGACCGTTGGAGCAGGCCCCAGTGACTGAATCGTCAACGAGCTCGCCTAGTAATCTGAAGGTCCTGGGCGGTTTCGTACTACTGAAGAGCCACCAAATAGGACGAAACAGCCTTCCAGTACTCCACGGTCTTCCAGTGGTTCTATAACTAATGTCAGATCGTGACTAATCCGATGTTTATTTTCTCAACACTTAACGCTTTATTATTTTCATATATATTCTTGTGATAAAGTAAGCGTGTGATTAGATAGTTCGCTATTTGTTACGCAAACGCACTACACGATTCAAATAAATTACATTTTGTTTTTTTCGAAATTCATAAAGGGAACTAAGACAAAATGAAAGAATAGTGACCAGAAGCAGTGAACGCACCAATGGAGTTCTAGTGATCGATCAACTCAAGATAGTGAAACCGGGAAAAAAAGACACCATATTAGCAAAGAAATGCTGGAAAAGGACAAGAGTGGATGCTTAGTTCTGTTTCCCTTTTTTCGTTCAAATACGCAAGGCTGATGATATTGGTCTTCTGAAGGTCAGTGGTGCGTTGGACTGACTGGTTAGGGTCCTCGGGATGTTAAGAACCAATGACTGGAAACATGGCTCGAAATCGTAGTCAGTGGCGCAGTCGCATTCACTCTTTGTGATCTCCCATCTCCATTAAACCCTACTGTCTTTCTATGTTACTGTTCTCTCTCCCTCACATTTCTGCTTATTATCGTTGTTTAGAATCTCTTTTTTCTCCCTTTATGTGTTATATGGAGTGTGGCAATTTGAGCTGGTGTACTTCTGTGAGGAGTTCTATGTTAAAATCCCATCAGTCAATTAGTATAGATATGATGGCGAAGATCTGTAGCTCAGGTGGATGATTTTGGTGTAGTTGTGTCCTCTGAGCTAGATGGTTTATTTGCGAAGCTTTCATTGCCCTATTAGGCAACATCTTCAGCATATACTTCAATTTAAATTGAGGTGAGCTTTCAGATTTCTCCACGAGTTTATTAGTCATCTCCCCTAGTAGGGTACTTTGGACGTGATTGGTTGTTTTTGTGGGTTTTCAAACCCTCTAGGCTACTTGTATCGGTACTAGTTGTTTCCTTGACCTGAACTTTGACCGTTTGCGTGTGACATTCCCTTCTTATCGATTTGTAAATTTTGTCCTTGTCAATGTGCCTATTGATTAACAATTCATTGGAATACCAGGCTTCTAAAAATTCTCAAGCATTCTTGGTGTTTCCTCTGTCTAATATTTGAACATTGTCCTAGTTGAATTGTTGTCCGTGGTTGTCTGTGTGCAGCGATATGAAGGAGTGGATGTGAAGTTGTTTGACGGGTAGTTTATGTTCGTGGATACGAAGACGAAGGGGAC